GACAGGTGAGGGACAGGTGAGAGACAGGTGAGAGACAGGTGAGGGACAGGAGAGACAGGTGAGGGACAGGTGAGAGACAGGTGAGAGACAGGAGAGACAGGGAGGGACAGGTGAGAGACAGGTGAGGGACAGGAGAGACAGGTGAGGGACAGGTGAGGGACAGGAGAGACAGGTGAGGGACAGGTGAGGGACAGGAGAGACAGGTGAGGGACAGGTGAGGGACAGGTGAGCGACAGGTGAGTGACAGGTAAGAGACAGGTGAGAGACAGGTGAGAGACAGGTGAGAGACATGTGAGGGACAGGTAAGGGACAGGAGAGGGACAGGTAAGGGACAGGTGAGGGACAGGTGAGGGACAGGAGAGAGACAGGTGAGGGACAGGTGAGGGACAGGTGAGGGACAGGTGAGCGACAGGTGAGAGACAGGTGAGGGACAGGTGAGGGACAGGTGAGAGACAGGTGAGAGACAGGTGAGGACAGGTGAGAGACAGGTGAGGGACAGGTGAGGGACAGGTGAGAGACAGGTGAGCGACAGGTGAGCGACAGGTGAGAGACAGGTGAGGACAGGTGAGAGACAGGTGAGAGACAGGTGAGAGGACAGGTGAGAGACAGGTGAGAGACAGGTGAGGACAGACAGGTGAGAAGGTGACAGGTGAGGACAGGTGACAGGTGAGGGAACAGGTGAGAGACAGGTGAGGGACAGGTGAGGACAGGTGAGAGGTGACAGGTGAGGGAGGACAGGTGAGCGACAGGTGAGCGACAGGTGAGACAGGTGAGAGGTGAGGACAGGTGAGGGACAGGTGACAGGTGAGAGGTGAGTGAGAGACGTCAGGTGCAGGTGAGCCAGGTGGCGTTCTCACCGATGGGGTCCATGATCTTGACGGGCGGGGTGGCGGCGCTCGGTCGTCCCTCTCCGGCCTTGTTCTCCGCCCTCACTCTGAAGATGTACTCTTTGTTCTCCACGACGTCGTTGAGGTCGGCGGAGCGTTCCGTCGCCGGGGTCACCAGAGCCGCCTCCCACTTCACCGACGTGCGGTCGCGGAGCTCGATCACGTACGCCGTGATCTCCGACCCGCCGTCCGACAGCGGCGGCTCCCAGCACACGGTTGCGCCGAAACGATTCACCGTGGAGACGTGAACATTCTGAGGAGCATCTGGAACATCTGAGAGACGAGGAGGGTTAGACCAGGACTAAACCAGGACTAAACCAGGACTAAACCAGGACTAAAGCAGGACTAAACAACGACTGAACCCGGACTAAACCAGGACTAAACCACCAGACTTTAAACAGAAACATAAAATGGTGGCTCGGACATAAAATGTGGCCGTGGACTCACCAAACTTGTTCTTGGGCTGCACGGGTTCGTCCAGGACCACGCTGGGTCCGGTGCCGACCCGGTTCCTGGCGCTGACTCTGAACAGGTACAGCAGGTCACGGTTGAGTCCGGACACGCAGTACTCGGGGGCGTCGGCGCGATCCGTGGCTAAAGTCCAGGTCTTCCTCTTGATGTCGCGGCGTTCCACCACGTACGCCGTGATCTTAGCGCCGCCGTCCGACTCCGGCTCCTCCCACGACAGGCTCACCTCGCCCTCCGCCGTGTCCATCACATGGAGGTTCTTCACCGGACCCGGGACGTCTGCGGGACAGGGAGGGTCAGACCAGAGACCAGAGTCCAGACCAGAGTCAAGACCAGAGACCAGAGTCCAGGTCTAAACTTGGTCTAAACCTGATCTAAACTTGGTCTAAACCCGGACTCACCGATCACGTCCAGGTTGATGTGGGCCTCGGCTTCTCCGTGCTTGTTCTTGATGTGGACGCGGTACCGGCCCTGGTCCTCTTTGGTCGGGCTCTTGAGCCGGTACTCGGTCTTGTCCAAACTGGTGTCGATGTTCTGGAACGGGAGGCTGGTCTCGCCGAAGAACCACTCGGCGTCGGCGCGAGGATAAGCGTCGTACGGAACTGTCATCACGAACGGTTTCCCAGCATCCGTCACCAGGCTCTGGTCTGTCGTCTTTATCTTAGGCACAGCTGAGGAACAGAGACCAGGACTAAACCAGGACTGAACCAGGACTGAACCAGGACTAAACCAGGACTGAACCAGGACTGAACCAGGACTAAACCAGGACTGAACCAGGACTGAACCAGGACTGAACCAGGACTGAACCAGGACTGAACCAGGACTAAACCAGGACTAAACCAGGACTAAACCAGGACTAAACCAGGACTGAAAGGACTAAAGGACTGAACCAGGACTGAACCAGGACTGAACCAGGACTGAACCAGGACTAAACCAGGACTAACAGGACTGAACCAGGACTAAACCAGGAACTGAACCAGGACTAAACCAGGACTAAACCAGGACTGAACCAGGACTGAACCAGGACTGAACCAGGACTAAACCAGGACTGAACCAGGACTGAACAGGACTAAACCAGGACTGAACCAGGACTAAACCAGGACTGAACCAGGACTGAACCAGGACTAAACCAGGACTAAACCAGGACTGAAACCAGGACTGAACCAGGACTGAACCAGGACTGAACCAGGACTAAACTGAACAGGACTGAACCAGGACTGAACCAGGACTGAAACCAGGACTAAACCAGGACTGAACCAGGACTGAACCAGGACTAAACCAGGACTGAACCAGGACTGAAACCAGGACTGAACCAGGACTAAACAAGGACTGAACCAGGACTAAACCAGGACTAAACCAGGACTGAACCAGGACTAAACAGGACTAAACAGGACTGAACCAGGACTGAGGACTGAAACCAGGACTAAACCAAGGACTGAACCAGGACTGAACCAGGACTGAACCAGGACTAGGACTAAACCAGGACTGAAACCAGGACTAAACAGGACTAACCAACCCAGGACTGAAAACCAGGACTGAACCAGGACTGAAACCAGGACTAAACCAGGACTAACCAGGACTGAACCAGGACTGAACCAGGACTGAACCAGGACCAGGACTGAAACCAGGACTAAACCAGGACTAACACCAGGACTGACCAGGACTAAACCAGGACTGAACCAGGACTAAACAAGGACTGAACCAGGACTGGAACCAGGACTAACAAGGACTGAACAGGACTGAACCAGGACTAAACAAAGGACTGAACCAGGACTAAACCAGGACTGGACTGAAACCAGGACTGAACCAGGACTGAACCAGGACTAACCAGGACTGAACCAGGACTGAACCAGGACTTAAACCGGACTGAAACCAGGACTAAACCAGGACTAAACCAGGACTGAACCAGGACTGAAACAGGACTAACAGACTGAACCAGGACTAAACAGAAAACCAGGACTAACCAGGACTGAACCAGGACTGAAACCAGACTAAACCAGGACTGACCAGGACTAAACCAGGACTGAACAGGACTGAAACAGGACTAACCAGGACTAAACCAGGACTGAAACAGGACTGAACAGGACTAAACCAGGACTAAACCAGGACTAAACCAGGACTGAACCAGGACTGAACCAGGACTGAACCAGGACTGAACCAGGACTAAACAAGGAACTGAACCAGGACTAAACCAGGAGGACTAACCAGGACTGAACCAGGACTAAACCAGGACTGAACCAGGACTAAACAGGACTAACCAGGAACTGAACCAGGACTAACACCAGACTAAAGACTGAACCAGGACTGGACTGAACCAGGACTGAAACCAGGACTAAACCAGGACTGAACCAGGACTGAACCAGGACTAAAACAGACTGACCAGGACTGAACCAGGACTAAGGACTAAACAAGGACTGAACCAGGACTAAACCAGGACTAAACCAGGACTGAACCAGGACTAAACCAGGACTGAACCAGGACTGAACCAGGACTAAACCAGGACTGAAACCAGGACTGAACCAGGACTAAACCAAGGACTGAACCAGGACTGAACCAGGACTGAAAAACCAGACTGAACCAGGACTAAACCAGGACTAACCAGGACTAAACCAGGACTGAACCAGGACTGGGACTGGACTAAACAGGACTAAACCAGGACTGAACCAGGACTGAACCAGGACTGAACCAGGACCAAACCAGGACTGAACCAGGACTGAACCAGGACTGAACCAGGACTAAACCAGGACTAAACCAGGACTAAACCAGGACTGAACCAGGACTGAACAGGACTGAACCAGGACTAAACAAGACTGACCAGGACTAAACCAGGACTAAACAGGACTGAACCAGGACTGAACCAGGATAACCAGGACTGAACCAGGACTAAACCAGACTGAACCAGGACTGAACCAGGACTGAACCAGGACTAAACCCAGGACTGAACCAGGACTAACCAGGACTAAACCAGGACTGAACCAGGACTGAACCCAGGACTAAAGGACCAGGACTAAACCAGGACTGAAACCAGGACTGAACCAGGACTAAACCAGGACTGAACCAGGACTGAACCAGGACTAACAGGACTAAACCAGGACTGAACCAGGACTGAACCAGGACTAAAGACTGAACCAGGACTGAACTAAACCAGGACTAAACCAGGACTAAACCAGGACTGAACCAGGACTGAACCAGACTGAACCAGGACTGAACCAGGACTGACTGAACAGGACTAAACCAGGACTAAACAGGACTGAACAGGACTGAACCAGGACTAAACCTGAACCAGGACTAAACAAGGACTGACCAGGACTAAACCAGGACTGAACCAGGACTGAACCAGGACTAAACCAGGACTGAACCAGGACTAAACAGGACTAAACCAGGACTGAACCAGGACTAACCAGGACTAAACCAGGACTGAACCAGGACTAAACCAGGACTGAACCAGGACTGAACCAGGACTGAACCAGGACTAAACCAGGACTGAACCAGGACTGAACCAGGACTAAACCAGGACTGAACCAGGACTAAACCAGGACTAAACCAGGACTGAACCAGGACTGAAACAGGACTGAACCAGGACTGAACCAGGACTAAAGGACAACCAGGACTGAACCAGGACTGAACCAGGACTAAACCAGGACTGAAACCAGGACTGAACCAGGACTAAACCAGGACTAAACAAGGACTGAACCAGGACTAAACCAGGACTGAACCAGGACTGAACCAGGACTAAACAAGGACTGAACCAGGACTGAACCAGGTCTAAACCAGGACTAAACCAGGACTGAACCAGGTCTAAACAAGGACTGAACCAGGACTAAACCAGGACTGAACCAGGACTAAACAAGGACTGAACCAGGACTGAACCAGGACTGAACCAGGTCTAAACAAGGACTAAACCAGGACTAAACCAGGACTAAACCAGGACTGAACCAGGTCTAAACAAGGACTGAACCAGGACTAAACCAGGACTAAACCAGGACTGAACCAGGTCTAAACAAGGACTGAACCAGGACTGAACCAGGACTAAACCAGGACTGAACCAGGACTGAACCAGGACTAAACAAGGACTGAACCAGGACTGAACCAGGACTTAACCAGGACTTAACCAGGACTAAACAAGGACTGAACCAGGACTGAACCAGGACTGAACCAGGACTGAACCAGGACTGAACCAGGACTGAACAAGGACTAAATCCATTCTAAACCTGGTCTAAACCCGGTCTTCCTCGGTCTGGGTCGGGCACTCACCTGCCAGCTCGAGTTTGGCGCGTGCGTCCTTGTCTTTGGCGACGATGCGGTACTCTCCCTGGTCTCGGGGTCGGATCTCACAGACCTGCAGTCGGTGGACTTTTCCCTCGCTGATCATCTGGTACTTGTCTCCCTGGACGATGATCATGTTGTTCCTCATCCAGCGAACCTCCACCCGGTCTTTGTTCAGCTCCGCCTCGAACACCACGTCTGAGCCCGGAGGTTCAAACAGGTCCTGGGGCGGCCGCACGATCTCCACCGGCGTTTCTGATGGACACGACGGGGCCGTTACAAACAGAACAACAACGACACAACAACGAAACAACCAACTCCAGATCTGCACCAGACTGTGTGACAGGTCTAAACCAGGACTAAACCCGGTCTAAACACGGTCTGGAGCACATAGGGGGACTCTTACCTTCCACGAAGAGTCTTGCTCGTGAGCGCCTCTCGTCCACCCCGCAGGCGTACTCACACTCATCGTCCGGACGACACGTCTTCACGATCAGACGACACGTTTTACCCTCACGCTCCATGTGATACCTGCAACACACACCGGGTCAGAACCACCGGAACCACCGTTAGAACCGCAGAGAACACCGACACCGGGTGTCACTGTACCACTTGACTGAAGCTTTCTCTTTGTCTTAGTCTCTGGTCTCAGTCTCTGGTCTCAGTCTCAGTCTCGGTCTCAGTCCTGGACTCAGTCCTGGACTCACCTGGGTCCCTCTCTGATCTCCCGTCCGGCTCTGTACCACTTGACTGAAGCTTTCTCTTTGTTGACTTTGCAGCTGAACTCGGCGTCTTCGAACTCGGTGACGGTTTGGTCTTTGAGCGCCGCCGTGAAGTCGGTGGGCGCCTCGCTGATGATCAACTCCGCTGGGCACCTGGAACCGGAACCCAGAGAGTCAGATGCCCTCCCGCCACACCTGATGCCCTCCCACACACCCCTGATGCCTTAACGCCACTCCCACCAGAAGAACATAGGAAAAGAAGAAACCTGAGGAACCCCAAGGAACCCTGAAAAACCCTGAGGAACCCTGCAGAAAAAATTAGGAACTCTGTGGAACCCTGACCTGTCGTCTCCCACTTGAGCGGTGTACTCTCCCTCGTCGTCCATCACGCAGTCCTTGATGGTCAGCGTGTGTTTGAGCCCGTCCACGCGGTAAACGACCCGTTTGCTCAGAGGCACCTCCTGCCCGGCTTTGAACCAGCGCACCGTCGCCTCGGGTCGGTTCACTTTACACACGAACGAGATCGTCTTCTTCTCCTGCGTCTCGATGTCCTCAATGGGCTCCAAGAACTTCAGTTTCTCCTCTGAGGAGGTAAGAACGGGTCAGAAACCAGGACTAGACCAGCACTGAAACAGGACTAAACCTGGTCTAAACCAGGACTTAACATGGACTAAACTGGGTCTAATCCCAGCATTTGGTTGGCGTTGGGTTGGCGTTACCTGCGACGGTGGCGTTGGCGCTGCTCTTGGCCGTCTCGCCGCGCTGGTTGCTCAGGAGGACGGTGTACTGAGCCTGGTCGTTCTTGTTGGCGTCGCGGATCCTCAGGGAGAACACGTTGTCCCGTTGACTCACCGTGAACTTGGCGCTCTCGAAAACCGTCTCGTCCTGTTTCAGCCACTTGGCTTTGGCGCCGTCCGAGTTCACCTCACAGTTAAACACGATCTCGCCGCCCTCCTTCACCTGCACGTCCCGCAGCGGGGTGACCACACGCAGGCGCTCTGAGGGACAGGGACAGGGTCAGGACAGAGTCAGGACAGGGTCAGGACCAGGACTACAGCAGGTCTAAACGTAGGTCTTACCGATGACGTAGAGTTCGGCGGAGGCCTTGACGTTGCCGATGTGCGCCGTGTATCCGCCCTCGTCCTTGCGGTCGCAGCTCTTCACGATGAGCGCGCGGCGTTTGCCTTCGCTCACCACGCCGTACTTCTCGCCTTCGCTCACTTCCTGATCTCCTCTGAACCACTTCACTTCGTACGTCTCCTTGGAAACGGAGCAAACAAACTCCGCCTTCTCGCCCTCCACCACCTCCACGTTCTGAGGCCGTGCGATGAACTCAGCCGCCAGCTCTGCGGAGAGGAGAGCAGTTAGAACGAGAACTAAACCAGGACTAAACCCGGTCTAAACCCGGTCTCACCGTTGATGCTGAGCTTGCCGGTGGTGGTCACGCTGGGGGACAGTTGGCAGGTGTAGTCGCCCCTGTCATCCAGGCGCAGGTCCTGGATGACCAGGACCCGTTTGCGCCCGTCGGTCAGGTGCTCGTAGCGCCCGCCCTCGGGGATCTCCTGCCCCTGTTTGAACCAGCGAACCTCGGCCGACGCCTTGGACACTTCACACACCAACTTCACCGAGTCCGTCTCCATCCCCTCCACGTTCGCCAGGTTCTTCGTGAAACGGGCGTCTTCCTCTGGAACCGGAGAGCACAGGTGTGTTTGTGCGTCTGTGTGTGTTGTGTTGTGTGTGTTGTGTGTGTGTGTTGTGTTGTGCGTCGTACCGATCACGGTGAGCATGCCGGAGCTCTTGGCGGTTCTGGCGTCGCACTCGTACTCGGCCTCGTCGTCAAACACAGACTTGTGCACGATCAGGATCCTCTGGACTCCCTTCGAGAGGATCTCGTACTTCTTACTCTTACGAATCTCATTCCCATCCCGGAACCAGCGCACCTGAGGAGGCACCACAACCGGGTCAGAACCAGGTCAGAACTGAGCAAGAACCGGGTCAGAACTGAGCAAGAACCGGGTCAGAACTGAGCAAGAACCGGGTCAGAACCGGGTCGGAAGCAGTAATTTTGGGGTGCAGTGTGTTAGTTGCACAGGTGCATTGTGGGGGCTGTAGTTCAGTGGGATAGTGTGTGAGGGGCACAGGTGCATTGTGGGGGCTGTAGTTCAGTGGGATAGTGTGTGAGGGGCAGAGGTGCATTGTGGGGGCTGTAGTTCAGTGGGATAGTGTGTGAGGGGCACAGGTGCATTGTGGGGGCTGTAGTTCAGTGGGATAGTGTGTGAGGGGCAGAGGTGCATTGTGGGGGCTGTAGTTCAGTGGGATAGTGTGTGAGGGGCAGAGGTGCATTGTGGGGGCTGTAGTTCAGTGGGATAGTGTGTGAGGGGCAGAGGTGCATTGTGGGGGCTGTAGTTCAGTGGGATAGTGTGTGAGGGGCACAGGTGCATTGTGGGGGCTGTAGTTCAGTGGGATAGTGTGTGAGGGGCAGAGGTGCATTGTGGGGGCTGTAGTTCAGTGGGATAGTGTGTGAGGGGCACAGGTGCATTGTGGGGGCTGTAGTTCAGTGGGATAGTGTGTGAGGGGCAGAGGTGCATTGTGGGGGCTGTAGTTTCACCTTGGCAGACTCTCGGGACACTTCACATTCGAACTTTGCAGATTCTTTCTCTTTGACTTCAACGTCGTGCAGCGGTTTAGTGAACTCCACATGAGGCGCTGAAAGAGACAGAAACCAGGTCTAAACCAGGTCTAAACCAGGTCTAAACCAGGGCTACAGCAGGACTATGGCAGGTCTAAACCCGGTCTTGGTGGTACTTACGCAGGACCTCGAGGTAGCAGGAGGTCTTGAACTGTTGTGCGTCGCACGTGTACAGTTTGGCGTCGTCCGGGGCGCAGCCGTGGATCACGAGCGCCCGTCGCCGCCCCTCGCTCACAACGTCGTATTTCTTCGTCTTTCTGATCTCCTGTCCTTCTCTGAACCAGCGCACCTGCGGGCAAGAACCGGGTCAGAACCAGGACTAGACCAGGACTGGACCAGGACTAAACCAGGACTCGTACCTCGGCGTTCTCACGGGAAACCTGGCACTCCAGCACAGCAGTGGCCTCCTCCTCCACGGACTGATCCTCCAGAGGCTGAGTGAACTCTGCTGCCGGCTCTGAGGGACACAGAGAGGCTCTGAACCAGGACTAAACCAGGACTAAACCAGGACTGAACAAGAACTAAACCAGAGCTGAACCAGGGTCTGAACCAGGACTAAACCAGGACTGAACAAGCACTAAACAAGACTAAAGCAGGTGTGAACTAGGTCTAAACCAGGTCTAACCCAGGTCTTACCTCTCACGATGAGCTGGGCCTGGGTCTGGAAGTCCTGGGCGCAGAGCTTCACTTCTCCAGCCTCAGAGAGCTTCACGTCCCTCACGGTGAGCGCGTGGACTCTACCCACCACCCGGGTCTTCACCTGGATCACAACCAGACCAGACACATGAAGACCGACCAGGATCACAACCAGACCAGACACATGAAGACCGACCAGGATCACAACCAGACCAGACACCAGCAGGGTCTGAACCAGGACTGACCCAGGATCAATGACCTCGTTTACCTCGTCTTATTTTAATTCAGAATTAATCATTTGGATTTAAATAGTTCAGGATTAACATTTTCTCCTTGGATTTTACATGGAAATAATAATTTTGCAAATCCAAAGAGACGTGGATCAAAGTCCGAGTCCAGGACCAGTGGAGCCGGATCGTCCGGATCGACGCGTCAGAAGAACGACACGACGAGCTCGAAGCACCACAAACCACAAACACGATCCAGGAAACAAAACAAACACTTACTTCACTGTTCAAATTAACTCAGAATAAACATTTTCATTAAGAATTAAGTGTTTACATGAACTTTTTTAAGACGAATTCAGTTTGATTCAGAATTAATTGATTTTTATTCAGAGTTAAATCTCATGTGAACGTGGTGAATGGAACAAAACATTTCTTCTGTGAAGGTTCATGAAGAACAACTGTCCCCGTCTCGTTAAAGAAACAAACAAACTCTGGGGGGCGGATCCTTCTGGTGGTTTGTTGTTGTTGTTTTTTTGGGGGGGGGGTCCCTGTGGTCTGGTTTTGGGGGGGGGGTGTCATTCTTATCTGTTTCTATTTTTGCTGCAGCTGTGAAACCTAAACCAGGACTAAACACAAGACTAAACCAGGACTAAACCAGGACTAAACACAAGACTAAACCAGGACTAAACCAGGACTAAACACAAGACTAAACCAGGACTAAACCAGAACTAAACACAAGACTAAACCAGGACTAAACCAGGACTAAACACAAGACTAAACCAGGACTAAACCAGGACTAAACCAGGTCTAAACACAAGACTAAACCAGGACTAAACCAGAACTAAACCAGGACTAAACACAAGACTAAACCAGGACTAAACACAAGACTAAACCAGGACTAAACCAGGACTAAACCAGGACTAAACACAAGACTAAACCAGGACTAAACCAGGACTAAACACAAACTAAACCAGGACTAAACCAGGACTAAACCAGACTAAACCAGGACTAAAACTAAACCAGGACTAAACCAGGACTAAACCAGGTCTAAACCAGGTCTAAACCAGGTCTAAACCAGGTCTAAACACAAGACTAAACCAGGACTAAACCAGGACTAAACACAAGACTAAACCAGGACTAAACCAGAACTAAACACAAGACTAAACCAGGACTAAACCAGGACTAAACCAGGACTAAACCAGGACTAAACAAAGACTAAACCAGGACTAAACCAGACTAAACCAGGACTAAACACAAGACTAAACCAGGACTAAACACAAGACTAAACCAGGACTAAACCAGGACTAAACTAAACCAGGACTAAACCAGGACTAAACCAGGACTAAACCAGGACTAAACACAAGACTAAACCAGGACTAAACACAAGACTAAACCACTAAACAGGACTAAACCAGGACTAAACACAAACGACTAAAACCAGGACTAAACCAGGACTAAACTAAACACAAGACTAAACCAGGACTAAACCAGGACTAAACCAGGACTAAACCAGGACTAAACCAGGACTAAACCCAGGACTAAACCAGGACTAAACCAGGTCTAAACCAGGTCTAAACCAGGACTAAACACAAGACTAAACCAGGACTAAACCAGGACTAAACCCAGGACTAAACCAGAACTAAACACAAGACTAAACCAGGACTAAACCAGGACTAAACCAGGTCTAAACCAGGACTAAACACAAGACTAAACCAGGACTAAACACAAGACTAAACCAGGACTAAACCAGAACTAAACACAAGACTAAACCAGGACTAAACCAGGACTAAACACAAGACTAAACCAGGACTAAACACAAGACTAAACCAGGACTAAACCAGAACTAAACACAAGACTAAACCAGGACTAAACCAGGACTAAACACAAGACTAAACCAGGACTAAACCAGGACTAAACCAGGACTAAACCAGGACTAAACCAGGACTAAACCAGGACTAAACCAGGTCTAAACCAGGTCTAAACCAGGACTAAACACAAGACTAAACCAGGACTAAACCAGGACTAAACCAGGACTAAACCCAGGACTAAACCCAGGACTAAACCAGGACTAAACCAGGACTAAACCCAGGACTAAACCCAGGACTAAACCCAGGACTAAACCAGGACTAAACCAGGTCTAAACCAGGACTAAACCAGGACTAAACACAAGACTAAACCAGGACTAAACCCAGGACTAAACCAGGACTAAACCAGGACTAAACCCAGGACTAAACCAGGACTAAACCAGGTCTAAACCAGGACTAAACCAGGACTAACCCATAAATAAATCAATAAAAATCACACATGACAGACATTCACACTTCACAGCATCAGGGGACACAAGAACAAATTTAGTTTCCATTTAAAAGTGAGACCAGATCCTCGGTCTGAACCACAGATTTTGCCGCAGACTTTGACTCTGTGGTTCAGACGGTTCTTATCAACAAATACAAGAAAAAGTCAACAAACGCTCGATAAAGGAAAGATTAAAATGATGTAAAATGTTAGATGACAGTTTTAAAGTCTTGAGCTTCAGTTTCAGGTGAACTCGCCGTTCTCCTCGTCCACATTTTCGTGGACATTTCTACTTCTTCTCTGTGGAAAAACTACTGAACTGTGAATTTTATTTTATTTTTTCAAAAGTCCACGACGTTTCTTTGGTTTTATTCGTGTTTAAGTCCAAACGGTTCTGATCCCACGGTTCAGACCAGGACAGGACAGATCTGGACCGAGGTCTGAGTCTGGATCTGTCGGTTTTAGGACGTAAAGAAGCAAAGACAAAACCCAACGTGTGAAAGTCTGGGGCCGGACCTTTCACATTCTCCAGGACTCTGTGTGTGCGAGGGGTCAAAAAGTTTAAAAGCAGCGGTAAAAACTGATAAGGGAGAAAAAAAACAGAAGCTCATGTCTCAGTTTAAATATTTGGCTGCATCTTTTTAAAAACTGAAGAGAAATCTGAAAAAGTGTCATGTGATTCGGGCGTTTCCAGGTGTTTCTAAATATTTCTGCATCATCTACTCTCTGCGCTGTGATCAGAAAACTGCACAGGGTCCGGTTTGGTTGGTTTGGATCTTCTCTTCTTTACGAATGAGCAGGTCTCCAGGCTTTTTCACTGACAAAATATCAAAACCTTTCCCTGACTTTCCAGCACCTACATGTGTAGAACTGATCATAGTTTTAGGTGTAAATCTGAAACATTAACTCTTTCCTCTCACCTTATGGTTTGGGATTATAGTTTTTGAACATTTTAAATCGTGTCAGTGCATTTACTGTCGTCTCTTTAAAAAAAACGTTCAGAAATATTCACAACAGACTCATGAGAACTGAATTTACAAATTTCCATGACTTTTCCAGGATTTCCATGACCGTGGGAACCCTGGATGAGGTGAGAGAAACTGGTCTGATTTCACTGAGTTCCTCTGAGTGACTGAGTTTAGGATCAGGTGAAACTGTGGAGGTTTTTCACATCGTTGGACAAATCTGTAAAAAAAAGTGCCTCTCAAACAGAGCAAAGAAAGAATTAAAAACATTTGTTGACAGTTTCCCGTGTTTCACTGAACGGTTGTTTCACTGATTCACTCCTCTTCACATCGCTCTGAGATCTGCTTCTCAACAGAGTTTCAGTTTTATCTTTTCAGATTCTTCTCTCATGTCTGAGTCGTTTCTGAACGTCTCTGTGGACGTCTTTCTTTTTCTGTTCATCGTCTGAATAATTTAAAACAGACTGAAGTTTCTTTACGCTCGTTTCATTCCAAACTTTAACAGATTTCAATAGTATTTGTAGTACTTGTAGTACTTGTAGTATCCGTAGTATCTGTAGTACTCACCCTGTCACTGGGCTCCATGCGCGCTCCGTTCACGTACCACTCCACACTGATCCCTTCGTACGAGAGCTCACACTCGAACGTGGCCGTCTCTCCTGCAGTCACCTCCACGTCCTTCAGGGGGCGCATCACCGAGATGGAGCGAGCTGACCACGCCAAGACGAAGAGACGAAGAAAAAATAATAATAAATAAATAAATAAATAAATATTAGAATAAATAACAGTGATGGAAAGAGAGAGAGAGAGAGAGAGAGATGAAGGAATGAAAGACAAACAGAAGTATAAAATGGAATGATCACAAAGTAAAAAACAAAAGCAGAAAGAAAAAGAGAGAAAGAAAAAGAGTGAAGTGTTCAGACGGAGAGCAGGAGCAGAAAGACGAGAGGAGAGAGGGAGGAGAGGAGGACACACACGGTCCCGCCTCTCGGCCAATCAGGAGCCTCCCTCACACCTCTCGGCCAATCAGGAGCCTCCCTCACACCTCTCGGCCAATCAGGAGGCGGCTCTCTCACCTCTGAGGCGGCTCCATTTGTCTCTGTACATCACACTGAGGGGTTAAACCTGATGCCCTCCCCCCAAGTCACTCAGGACCCAGGACTAAACCAGGTCTGAACCAGGACTAAACCAGGTCTAAACCACCAGGACTAGACCAGGACTAAACCAGGACTAGATCATGATGGACACTCCTGTTCACCCCTGCACCAGACGATAGCGGGACAGATAATACTCCCTACAACAAACTTAGCCGTAAAATGTAAATATTATAATTCAGACAAAGATAAAACTGTTGTTATAACGAGTCAGATGACCAGACTTTTAACAGTCTGGTCCTTCCACACTTAAACTCGGGGGACATTTCTAAATCAAATATTAATCACATTTTCTCCTCCAAAAGAAACAATCAGGATTATTGATCATGGAAGAGTTTTTTGTTCTTGTTGACCCGAGTTCAGCCGCAGTGACGTACGGACTAGACTCGTGCTCCTCCTCCTCGTGGACTCGAGTGACTCGAGTGACTTGAGCAGAAAGTCAGTTTAACCTCAGAAGAATCGATAAAAAGATAAAAGTGTTTGTGGAAAAACCTGAGTCGTGATTTTAAAAAGAGAATAAAGCTTCACAAAGCTCTGGAATCAATCAGTTATACATTAAACTTAGTTTTTATTTATATTTACAGTGAGTCGTGAGTGAAATTAAATAAACTCAAACTTCTTGTTCAGACGCTGTTTTTCTTTCGTGGATTCTGTCGATGTTTAACAGAGTTTGTGTTTGAAAAACTTCAGATTAAACTCTTTGTCCTGATCCATGAGGCTGGAGTCTGGGTTTGGTTTTTTGTTTTGTTTTGTTGAGCTGCAAAATTAACTAATAAAAAAAAAAAAAACTGTAACATTCACACTATAATACTCCCTACAACTGTACAACAACTTTATTCCCATTTATATTTTTCTCTTTGTTATTTTATTTTCTCCTGTGTCCAAATCATTTCCCTTTGGATCAATAAAGTTTGTCTAAGTGTAAATCTGAACCAGAACTAAACCAGGACTAGACCAGGACTAGACCAGGACTAGACCAGGACTGAACGTGGTCTGACCTTTGACCCTGAGCTGGGCGTTGGACTTGGCGTTGGCGGCGGCGAAGTCCACGGCTCCGGCCATGTCCAGCTTCACGTTGTAGAGGATCAACATGTGACGCTTCCCCTCCTCCTTAATCTCCACGTCCTGAAACACCAGAGACCACACCTCAGTAAGAGCGTCTGCGATTGGCCGGCGCCCGCTCCTGGCAGATGATGATGATGTCACTCGGATACTCACGGCTGATTGGTGCAGAGGCTCTCCCTTCAGTTTCCAGTTCCCGTGGACGTCCTCCTCCGAAATGTCCGTCTCAAACTTGGCTGTTTCTGTCTCTGTCACTTCCACACTGTAGAGCGGACGCACCACCTTAATGTCCCGCTCTGACGAAGACGAGGACGAGGACGAGGACGAGGACGAGGACGAGACGAGGACGAGGACGAAGACGAGGACGAAGACGAAGACGAGGACGAAGACGAGGACGAAGACGAGGATGAAGACGAAGACGAGGACGAAGACGAGGACGAAGACGAGGATGAAGACGAAGACGAGGACGAGGGGGAGGAGGAGAAAAAAATAGTGAATTTTCGTTTCATTTGAGGAAAGTTTATTTTCTGAAGTTTCACAGCGACGTCACGTCTCTGGAGAAATGAGTCCCAAAGTTTAAATACAAGAAAATACACAGTTTGTAGTATTTGTAGTATTCATACCTTTGATACTGTAGTATTTGTAGTAGTATTCATAGTATTAGTAGAATTAGTAGTACTTGTAGTATTTGTACCTTCGGTGTTGAGGTTGGAGGTCGTCCTACACCTGCACCTGTACGTGCCAATGTTGTAGTAATAATATTCGTAGTATTTGTAGTGTTCATAGTTTTCGCAATAGTATTAGTAGTACTTGTAGTATATGTAGTATTAGTAGTATTCGCATTAGTATTTGTAGTATTTGTACCTTCGATGTTGAGGTTGGCGGTGGTCTTGTTAGACCCGCAGTCGCACGTGTACGCTCTGATGTTGTAGTAGCAGTAATAGTAGTTTTCACAGTAGTATTAGTAGTATTTCTAGTATCTGTAGTATCTATAGTATTTGTAGTATTCATACCTTCGATGTTGAGGTTGGCGGTGGTCTTGTCGGAGCCGCAGTCGCACGTGTACGCTCCGATGTTCGCCTTCTCGGCCTTGCGCACCGTCAGGATACGTTTCTTGCCGTCCGTCGTCATGGCGATGTTCTTCGACGGCGTCAGCTCTTTTCCGTCCTTGAACCATTTGACGTCGGCGGCGGCTTTGCTGAGCTCACACACGAGACGCACCTCGTCCCGCTCCACCGCCGTGTAGTTCTGCAGCTTCATCGTGAAGTACAGGTCTCCCTCTGGAACGAGACCGAGAACTGGGTCTAAAACGGGTCTGGACCAGGTCTGGACCACAACTGGACCAGGACTGAACCAAAAGTAAACCATGTCTAAACCAAAACTAAACCATGTCTAAACCAGGACTGAACCAGGTCTGGAACAGGTCAGGACCAGGTCTAAACCAGGACTGGACCAGGTCAGAACCAAAACAAAACCAGGTCTAAACCAAAACTAAAGCAGGTCTAAACCCTGGCCTAACACCGGTCTTGGACTGGTGGTACCTATGACGGTGAGCATGGCGGTGAGGCTCTTGTCCATGGCCTCGACGCGGATCATGGACGTGTCGTCGATGGTCGCCTCTTTGATGGACAGCGTGTGGGCGCGGCCCTGGTCCGACATGTGCACCACCTTCGACGGGTGAAGACGCACGTCATTTTTGTACCAAACCACCGGGATCTTCTCGTGAGACAACTCCACCGAAAACTCTGCCGTCTCACGCTCCTTCACTGTCACGTCTTTGATCGGCTTCACAAACTCCAGACGGATACCTGCGGGTACGAGGAGGGCACAAGGAGGGCACAAGGAGGGCACAAGGAGGGCACAAGGAGGGTACGAGGAGGGCACAAGGAGGGCACAAGGAGGGCACAAGGAGGGCACAAGGAGGGTACGAGGAGGGCACGAGGAGGGCACAAGGAGGGTACGAGGAGGGCACAAGGAGGGCACAAGGAGGGCACAAGGAGGGTACACAGTTTAGTGTGTTTTTAAAGTGGGTGTTTAAAGTGCGTGTTTAAAGTGCGTGTTTAAAGTGGGTGTTTAAAGTGGGTGTTTAAAGTGCGTGTTTAAAGTGCGTGTTTAAAGTGCGTGTTTAAAGTGGGTGTTTAAAGTGCGTGTTTAAAGTGCGTGTTTAAAGTGCGTGTTTAAAGTGGTGTGTTTAAAGTGCGTGTTTAAAGTGCGTGTTTAAAGTGCGTGTTTAAAGTGGGTGTTTAAAGTGCGTGTTTAAAGTGCGTGTTTAAAGTGTGCGTTCACCCTGAATGATGAGTTTGCCGGACGTCCTCTTGTCCTCCGCCTCAAACATGTACTTGGCCTCGTCTTCGTACGCTGCGGACTTCACTCTCAGCACGTACAGGTTCCCCTCCTGCAAACACTCAAACTTCTCGTCGCTCTGGACTTCCGCGGAACCCTTCAGCCAACGGAACGTCTTCGGAATGCGAGAAACTTCCACCTCAAAACGCGCCTCGTCCTTCTCGTACACCTGCACATCGCTCAGCGGGGTGAGGAAGTTCAGAGGAAGCTCTGACGCGGAAGAGAGACGAAGTTCAGTTTAGTTTGTTAAGATCCCCAAACAACACACAAAAATATAAACAACTAATTCAGATAACAGATAAAATGCACTTGTGGGCACTTGTGGGCACTTGTGGGCACTTGTGGGCACTTGTGGGCAGAGTTCGTGTCTCACCTTTGACCTTGAGGTTGGCGGCACACTTGGCGTTGGCGGCGCTGAAGGACACCTCTCCGGTCATGGGCACTCTGCAGTTGTACAGGATCAGAGTGTGTTTGGGTCCCTCCTCGATGATGTCCACGTCCTGCAGGGGGCGACACAGAGGCACAAACGGGTCAGAACCAGAACCACCAGAACCTTCCCCTCACAGATGAAGGCCCAACAAGTTGGTCTCTGGTCTGGTCTTTGGTCTCTGGTCCAGTCTCTGGTCCCTGGTCTGGTCCAGTCCTAGTCTGGTCTCAGGTCTGGACTCACAGAGGACGGGTTGAGGATTTCTCCGTTGAGCTTCCATTGCCCGTGAACGTCATCGGCCGAGATCTCGACCTCGAATCGAGCGGTTTCTCCATCGAACAGCTCCACCCCGTAAATCGGACGCACCACCTTAATGTCCCGAGCTGCAAGAACACAGAACCAGGTCAGAACCAGGTCAGAACCAGGACTAAAGCAGGACTGAACAAGGACTAATGCAGGTCCAAACTCGGCCTAAACTTGGTCTAAAGCCGGTCTAACTCCAGTCTAAACTCTGTCTAAACTTGGTCTAAGCTCGATCTACACCCAGTCTACACCTGATCTAAAACGTCAGTCTATACCCAGATCAAACCCGGTCTCGTACCTTCCACGCTGAGCTTGGCTCTGGTCTGGTCTGTTCCACAGTCGCAGCAGTACTGTCCTTGGTCTGGTATCTCCACCTTCTTGAGGACCAGGGTTCTTCGGGTTCCTTCGCTCTTCAGGACCAGAGTCTTGGACTGGGTCAGCTCCACCTGGTCCCGGTACCAGACCACCGGCACGTCCTTACTCAACTCACAGTTAAGCTCCACCTCGTCCTTCTCCACCGCCGTGAAGTCCGACAGCTTCGTGATGAAGACGGCGTCTCCCTCTGCCAGAGAAGAAAAGGTCAGAAGAGAAGAAGAAGAAGAAGAAGAAGAGGGACAAAACGAACGACTGAGGATGAAACATGAGGCGTGTCAGATGGAGCAGTGAGTGGAGCTGATGTTTAAGATGTTACAGACACACGGATGGACTGAGAAGGTCTTAGAAGGTCTGAGATGGTCTTGAGATGGTCTGTGGTTGTCTGGGATGGTCTGGGATGGTCTGGAATGGTCTGGAATGGTCTGGGATGGTCTGGGATGGTCTGGGATGGTCTGGGGTGGTCTGGAATGGTCTGGGATGGTCTGGGATGGTCTGGGGTGGTCTGGGATGGTCTGGGGTGGTCTGGGGTGGTCTGAGATGGTCTGGGGTGGTCTGGGGTGGTCTGGGGTGGTCTGGGGTGGTCTGGAATGGTCTGGGGTGGTCTGGGATGGTCTGGGGTGGTCTAGGATGGTCTGGGATGGTCTGGGATGGTCTGGGGTGGTCTGGGGTGGTCTGAGATGGTCTGAGGTGGTCTGGGGTGGTCTGAGGTGGTCTGAGATGGTCTGGGGTGGTCTGGGGTGGTCTGAGGTGGTCTGAGATGGTCTGGGGTGGTCTGGGGTGGTCTGGGATGGTCTGAGGTGGTCTGGGATGGTCTGGAGTGGTCTGGGGTGGTCTGGGGTGGTCTGGGATGGTCTGGGGTGGTCTGGGGTGGTCTGGAATGGTCTGAGGTGGTCTGAGATGGTCTGGGGTGGTCTGGGGTGGTCTGAGGTGGTCTGAGATGGTCTGGGATGGTCTGGGATGGTCTGGGGTGGTCTGGGGTGGTCTGAGATGGTCTGAGGTGGTCTGGGGTGGTCTGGGATGGTCTGGGATGGTCTGGGGTGGTCTGGGGTGGTCTGAGGTGGTCTGGAATGGTCTGGGATGGTCTGGGATGGTCTGGGGTGGTCTGGGATGGTCTGGGGTGGTCTGGGGTGGTCTGGGATGGTCTGGGGTGGTCTGGGATGGTCTGGGGTGGTCTGGGATGGTCTGGGATGGTCTGGGGTGGTCTGGGGTGGTCTGGGGTGGTCTGAGATGGTCTGGGGTGGTCTGGGGTGGTCTGGGATGGTCTGGGGTGGTCTGGGATGGTCTGGGATGGTCTGGGGTGGTCTGGGGTGGTCTGGGGTGGTCTGAGATGGTCTGGGGTGGTCTGAGATGGTCTGAGGTGGTCTGGGGTGGTCTGGGATGGTCTGAGATGGTCTGAGGTGGTCTGGGGTGGTCTGAGATGGTCTGGGATGGTCTGGGATGGTCTGGGGTGGTCTGGAATGGTCTGAGGTGGTCTGGGATGGTCTGGGATGTTCTGTGGTTGTCTGGGGTGGTCTGGGGTGGTCTGAGATGGTCTGGGGTGGTCTGGGGTGGTCTGGGGTGGTCTGGAATGGTCTGGGGTGGTCTGGGATGGTCTGGGGTGGTCTAGGATGGTCTGGGATGGTCTGGGATGGTCTGGGGTGGTCTGGGGTGGTCTGAGATGGTCTGAGGTGGTCTGGGGTGGTCTGGGGTGGTCTGGGATGGTCTGGGATGGTCTGGGGTGGTCTGGGGTGGTCTGAGGTGGTCTGGAATGGTCTGGGATGGTCTGGGATGGTCTGGGGTGGTCTGGGATGGTCTGGGGTGGTCTGGGGTGGTCTGGGATGGTCTGGGATGGTCTGGGATGGTCTGGGGTGGTCTGGGATGGTCTGGGATGGTCTGGGGTGGTCTGGGGTGGTCTGGGGTGGTCTGAGATGGTCTGGGGTGGTCTGGGGTGGTCTGGGATGGTCTGGGGTGGTCTGGGATGGTCTGGGATGGTCTGGGGTGGTCTGGGGTGGTCTGGGGTGGTCTGAGATGGTCTGGGGTGGTCTGAGATGGTCTGAGGTGGTCTGGGGTGGTCTGGGATGGTCTGGGATGGTCTGAGATGGTCTGAGGTGGTCTGAGGTGGTCTGGGGTGGTCTGAGATGGTCTGGGATGGTCTGGGATGGTCTGGGGTGGTCTGGAATGGTCTGAGGTGGTCTGGGATGGTCTGGGATGTTCTGTGGTTGTCTGGGGTGGTCTGGGGTGGTCTGGGGTGGTCTGGGATGGTCTGGGATGGTCTGGGATGGTCTGAGGTGGTCTGGGGTGGTCTGGGATGGTCTGGGATGGTCTGGGATGGTCTGGGATGGTCTGGGGTGGTCTGGGATGGTCTGGGGTGGTCTGGGGTGGTCTGGGATGGTCTGGGGTGGTCTGGGATGGTCTGGGATGGTCTGGGGTGGTCTGGGATGGTCTGGGGTGGTCTGGGGTGGTCTGAGATGGTCTGAGGTGGTCTGGGGTGGTCTGGGATGGTCTGGGGTGGTCTGGGGTGGTCTGAGGTGGTCTGAGATGGTCTGGGGTGGTCTGGGGTGGTCTGAGGTGGTCTGAGATGGTCTGGGGTGGTCTGGGATGGTCTGAGGTGGTCTGGGGTGGTCTGGGATGGTCTGAGGTGGTCTGGGATGGTCTGGAGTGGTCTGGGGTGGTCTGGGGTGGTCTGGGATGGTCTGGGGTGGTCTGGAATGGTCTGAGGTGGTCTGAGGTGGTCTGAGATGGTCTGAGATGGTCTGGGGTGGTCTGGGTGGTCTGGGGGTGGTCTGGGGTGGTCTGGGGTGGTCTGAGATGGTCTGGGGTGGTCTGAGATGGTCTGAGGTGGTCTGGGGTGGTCTGGGATGGTCTGGGGTGGTCTGGGGTGGTCTGGGTGGTCTGGATGGTCTGGGGTGGTCTGGTGGTCTGGGGTGGTCTGGGTGGTCTGGTGGTCTGGGTGGTCTGATGGTCTGGGGTGGTCTGGGGTGGTCTGGGGTGGTCTGGGGTGGTCTGGGTGGTCTGAGGTGGTCTGAGATGGTCTGGGGTGGTCTGAGATGGTCTGGGGTGGTCTGGATGGTCTAGGATGGTCTGAGATGTTATATGGACATACTGATGGTTTCATGGATGGACCTTCTGGCCCAGACCTGAGCTGAGGCAGGACTTAAAACAGTGGAGATGGTTTTACGGAAATGAGAAGATGAGATGTTAGTAGAGACACTGCAGCATTCACACTGAATCAAACAAAATAAAAGCCGATTTTTTTTTAGTGTGAATTCTGCTTCAGAAGATGGACCCTGGATGGAGGACCTGAGGTTAGAAGAGCTCATGTGGAGAAGATCTGATGAGGAACAAAGATGATGTCAGGGTCAAAGGAAACAAAGATGGTGGAGGTTTATGGAGATGAGGCGGCGTTTTACGGTTTTAAAAAAATAAAGTAGACATGTGAAACTCGGTCTAAACTCGGTCTAAACCCGGTCTAAACCCGGTCTAAACTCGGTCTAAACTCGGTCTAAACCCGGTCTAAACCCGGTCTAAACTCGGTCTAAACTCGGTCTAAACTCGGTCTAAACTTGGTCTAAACTCTGTTTAAACCCGGTCTAAACCCGGTCTAAACTTGGTCTAAACTCGGTCTAAACCCGGTCTAAACCCGGTCTAAACTCGGTCTAAACTCGGTCTAAACTTGGTCTAAACTCTGTTTAAACCCGGTCTAAACCCGGTCTAAACTTGGTCTAAACTCGTCAAAACTCGGTCTAAACCCAGTCTAAACTTGGTCTAAACTCGGTCTAAACTCGGTCTAAACTCGGTCTAAACCCGGTCTAAACTCGGTCTAAACTCGGTCTAAACTCTGTTTAAACCCAGTCTAAACTCGGTCTAAACCGGTCTAAACCGGTCTAAACTCGGTCTAAACCCGGTCTAAACCGGTCTAAACCGGTCTAAACCGGTCTAAACCGGTCTAAACCGGTCTAAACCGGTCTAAACTCTGGGTTTATGGAGATGATGGTTTTATGGTTTTAAAAAGATGAAGATGGAGGATTATGGAGGTGGAGCAAAACAAAGATGGTGATGGAGCTGTTGCTATGGTGATGAGAAGGTGGTAGATGGAGCTTTAGTTGTTGCTATGGTGATGAGACGTGGCAGATGGAGCTTTAGTTGTTGCTATGGTGATGAGACGTGACAGATGAAGCTTTAGTCGTTGCTATGGCGATGAGACGGCGGTAGATGAAGCTTTAGTCGTTGCTATGGTGATGAGAAGGTGGTAGATGGAGCTTTAGTCGTTGCTATGGTGATGAGACGTGGCAGATGGAGCTTTAGTCGTTGCTATGGTGATGAGACGTGGCAGATGGAGCTTTAGTCGTTGCTGTGGCGATGAGACAAAGATGGCGGAGGCGGCGGGCGCGGGGGCGGGCGCGGCCGGGTTACCTATGACGTTGAGGCGGGCGGCGCAGCTGACGCCCCTCGCCTCGGCCTTGATCTGGCACGTGTCGTCCATGCTGAGGCTGCGCAGCTCGAGCGTGTGGCGCCGTCCCTCCGAGCGCGTCACCACCGTGCGGCTCACGTGAACTTTGACCTCGTTGCGGTACCAGACGAACCGGCACGTCCTCGAGACTCAGCTCCAGCTCAAACATGGCCGACTCCCCCTCCTTCATCGTCAGGTCGAGGAGCGGACGAGTGAAGCCCAGACGAACGCCTGGAACGAGTACTACTGTGAGTACTACAACTACTACTACTGCAACTACTACAACTACTACTACAAGTACCACTACTACTACTGCTACTATTACTCCTACTACTACTACTACTATAAGTACTACTTCTACTACAACTGAAGAGGCCGAGTGAAGCCCAAACGCACGCGTACTACTGTGAGTACTACAAATACTACTACAACAACTACTACAACTACAACTACTACTACAACAACTACTACAACTACTACTACAACAACTACTACAACTACTACTACAACAACTACTACTACTACAAGTACCACTACTGCTACTGCTACCGCTAGTACTACTCCTACTACTATAAGTACTACTACTACTACTACTACTACTACTACTGAATAGGCTGAGTGAAGCCCAGACCCACGCCTTCAAGTATTTATGCAAGATTTATGAGTACTACGAGTACTACTACTGTTATTACTACTACTGCTACTCTGAGTACTACTACAAATACTATTACAACTACTACTACTACTACTGCTACTACTGCTGCTACTACTACTTCTGCAACTACTACTGAAGAGGCTGAGTGAAGCCCAAGTACAAGTACTCCTCCTCCTCCTCACCTTCCACCTTGAGCTCGGCGGTGCTCTTCAGCCCCTGCACCTCGACCGTGTACTGCGCCTCATCCTCAAACTGACAGTTGTTGATGACGAGGAGGTGCCTGTTGCCGTTGGCGATGATCTCGTGTTTGGGGCTCTGCGTGATGACGTCGTCTCCTCTGAACCACAGAACCTTCGGCACCTCCTTCGTCACCGAGCACTGGAACTGAGCCTGTTTGTTCTCCGGCACCGCCACGTCCTTCAGCCGCTCCACGAACGCCAGCTCCACCTCTGGACGACAGCACACCGGGTTACACCACCCGCACGACACTTACTGTCACCGGGATGTTTCGAAGGGACATTTCAGCAGATGATTTCAGATGATTTCAAGTGATTTCAGGTGATATCAGGTGCTGATTTCAGGAGATTTCAGGTGATTCCAGGAGATTTCAGGTGATTTCAGGTGATTTGAGCGGCAGAGATGGCGAGTTTGTGAAGGAAAGAGGGTTTAAATGTTTTGAAGAGTTTCGTACTCACCTGGGTTCAGTCACGGACCTGAGCTGATGCACAAAAAAGACTTTGAGCTAAAACAAACTTCACATTGAACAGAACACAGTGTAAAGTTTTTAGGGATGCACCGATCCTATACTGGAATCCGAGATTGGGTATCGGAGACCAAATATCAGTCCAGCCGATATCCTGCGTGGACACGTACTGTAAATAAAAACTGGTCGAGATAAATCACAGACGCATAAAACCGAACGATCCCAGAACAGTTCCAGAAAGATTCTATTACTGGACTCGGTATCGGAGCTGGAAAAGTTGGATCGGTGCATCCCTAGTGTGCGTGGGGGTTTTGGAGGCTGTTGGTGCAGAAGGACAGACACCACTCTGTCAGTCTGCCCCAGGGCGGCTGTGGCGGCGCAGAGAGAGACCTCCACCGTGTCGTTTCAAATTGTAATCGTCAAAAGTCTCGTAAGAAAACACAGAATCACAAACGTGTTTAAAGTGTTTTGCTGCTGTTGAGACGATGATCCTCTGCTCCAGCTCAGAGCAGAACACAAGAGACAACTGTGACCGAGCACTTCAGGACAGGTGCAGGACAGGTGCAGGACAGGTGCTGGGCAGGTGTTGTGTGTTGGACAGGTGCTGGACAGGTGTTGGACAGGTGTTGGACAGGTGTTGTGTTGGGCAGGTGTTGGGCAGGTGTGGGACAGGTGTTGGACAGGTGTTGTGTTGGGCAGGTGTTGGGCAGGTGTGGGACAGGTGTTGGACAGGTGTTGTGTGTTGGACAGGTGTCGGACAGGTGTCGAACAGGTGTCGGACAGGTGTTGGACAGGTGTCGGACAGGTGTTGAACAGGTGTCGGACAGGTGTCGGACAGGTGTCGAACAGGTGTCGGACAGGTGTTGAACAGGTGTCGGACAGGTGTCGGACAGGTATTGTGTGTTGGAAAGGTGTCGGACAGGTGTCGGACAGGTGTTGGTTTGGACAGGTGTTGTGTGGACAGGTGTGGACAGGTGTCGGACAGGTGTCGGACAGGTGTTGGACAGGTGTCGGACAGGTGTTGGACAGGTGTTGGACAGGTGTTGGACAGGTATCGGACAGGTGTTGTGTGTTGGACAGGTGTCGGACAGGTGTCGGACAGGTGTCGGACAGGTGTTGGACAGGTGTTGGACAGGTGTTGTGTGTTGGACAGGTATCGGACAGGTGTCGGACAGGTGTTGGACAGGTGTTGGACAGGTGTCGGACAGGTGTTGTGTGTTGGACAGGTGTCGGACAGGTGTTGGACAGGTGTTGGACAGGTATCGGACAGGTGTTGTGTGTTGGACAGGTGTCGGACAGGTGTTGGACAGGTGTTGGACAGGTATCGGACAGGTGTCGGACAGGTGTTGGGCAGGTGTTGGGCAGGTGTTGGGTTGGACAGGTGTTGGACACTTCTGTAGGATGTTGTGTGTTGTTGTGCCCTTGAGCAGGACACTTCTGTAGGATGTTGTGTGTTGTTGTGCCCTTGAGCAGGACACTTCTGTAGGATGTTGTGTGTTGTTGTGCCCTTGAGCAGGACACTTCTGTAGGATGTTGTGTGTTGTTGTGCCCTTGAGCAGGACACTTCTGTAGGATGTTGTGTGTTGTTGTGCCCTTGAGCAGTACCTCTGACGGTGAGCATGGCCGAGGTGTTGGCGTTCAAGGCCTGGTAGGACACTTCTCCGGCCTGATCCAGCTGAACGTTCTTCAGGGTCAGGAACCTCTTCTTTCCCTCCATCTTGATGTCCACGGTCTGAAGAGGAGCAGAGTAGAGAGCTCAGGGTTTGTCAGGATCATGTGGAGATGTTACGTGGAGATGTTGGACCACCGTTCGGGACTCACCGGGGACCGCGTCAGCACCTGTCCTCTCAGCTTCCATTCTCCAGCCACGTCCTCCTCTGAGATCTCTGTGTTAAACTTGGCCTCCTCCTTCTCCATCACCTCCACGTTCTCCAGGGGCTTCAGGATCTCCGCCTCACGCTCTGAAGAGAGGAACACCAAACATGTCAAGAACACGCCAGGAACACGCCAAGAAGACATCTTCCGAGATCTACTCTCTGGTCTTGTGTTTAATCTCTTGTCAGGGTTTCAGTCTGTTTTCTGGTCTCTGGTCCTGGTCCTGGTCCAGTCTCTGGTCCCTGGTTTCGTACCTCCCAGGGTGAGCTTGGCGCTGTATCTTCTGTCCTCCACCTCCAGCGTGTAGTCGGAAACATCTCCAGGTTGGCAGTTGTTGATGGTCAGGGAGACGTTGGGTCCGTCCTTCTGGATCTGGACTTTGTCCGAGGGCTGCAGCTCCGTGTCGCCCTTCAGCCACTTCCAGTTGGGCGTGTCCTTGAAGAGCTCGCCCTTGAACGTGGCGCTGGCCTTTGGCTTCACGTGCTGGTCCCTCAGGGGCTTCACCAACCAGTCCTTAATGATCTCTGAGGAACACAGGAGAAGAAGGAGCAGTGAAGAAGATCTGAACCAGGTCTAAACCAGGACTAAACCAGGTCTAAACTAACACTGAACCAGGACTAAACCAGGACTAAACCAGGTCTAAACTAACACTGAACCAGGTCTAAACCAGGTCTAGATGGAGCAGTGAGACCTTCAGACTGTGAGGACAGACCTAACCATGAAGAAGATCTAAGCTGGGACTAAACCAGGACTAAACCAGGTCTATGTCCCGTCATAAGCCCCACCGGCTGTGCCCTAAGCCCCGCCCCCTGACTCACCGATGACCTTGACGTTGGTGGAGGTGACCACGTCCTCCTGCCCTTCGACGGCGCAGGTGTAGAGCCCCGCCTCCTCGTCCGTGGCGTTCTGGATGGTGATGGCGTGCTGCATGCCGATCACGTTGATGGCGATCTTTCCCGCCTTCTTCTTGATGGCGGCACCGTTTCGTTTCCACACGACGTCACGTTCTTTGTTCAGCTCGCACGTCAAGTACATGGGCTGCCCCTTCATGCACGACGTCTCGGGCTCCAGCTCCTTCAGCCACTTCACCGGCAGCTCTGAAGGAAGAAACCAGGTCTAAACCAGGTCTGGACCAGGACTAAACCAGGACTAAACAGAACTAAACCCAGACTAAACCAGGACTATCTCAGTTCTCTGTACCTTCTACGATGAGCTTGGCGGTGCAGGTGACCTCTTTCCCGGCGTTCCGGGCGACGCAGGTGTACTCTCCGGTGTCCGACAGCTGCACGTCGATGATGTGGAGCTTTCGGTCTTTCCCGTCTGAGTAGAACTTGTGTTTGGGACCTTCTCTGATGTTTCCTCCGTCCTTCATCCAGGACGTGACGGCGGTGGAAGGAGAAATCTCACACTCGAACACCGCCGAGGAACCGATGGACTCGGCCTCCTGAAGACGAGAGGAGGAGAGTAAATAGTAAAGGCTAAACCAGGACTAAACCAGGACTAAATCAGGTCTGAACCAGGACTAACCGTGAGCACGATGTCTTGGATCTTCTTGGTGAATTTGAGGGGCACAGCCTTGAGTTTGAATCCTCCAAAAGGTTCCTCTGGAGGAGAAGGACCTTTACCTCCAGGTCTGAGTCCCCGACCTCGGTCTCCAGGGGACGGGGTCTGCCGGGCTGTGGGAGGCAGGGCATCCAGGTTAGAGCCAGGACTAAACCAGGACTAAGCAGGACCTGGGCTTTGAACCAGGACCAGGTTTCAGTGGGTCAGGAAATTGAAGCCAAGTCTAAACTAGACTTAAATCAGGACTATACCAGGACTAAACTAGGACTAGAGTTGGCCTGAACCAGAACTAAACCAGTTCTAAACTAGAATTAAACCAGGTTTAAACCAGGACTAAACCAGGTCTAAACTAGGACTAAACCAGGACTAATCCAGGACTATACCAAACTAATTCAAATCTAAACTAGTTGTGAACCAGGTCTAGAACTAAACCCCGTCCCAGGGCCTGGCTTCGGACCTGGCTCCAGACCTGGGTCAGGATCTGGGTCAGGATCTGGGTCAGGATCTGGGTCAGGACCTGGACCGGTTCTACAGTGACTCAGCTACTTTGACACAAAATGGCCGCCATGAGGAAACCTCAAAATGGCGTCCAAAACAAACAGGAAGAGGAAGTGGTGAGAGTGAAACGTAAACAAATGTTTCTGAGTAAAGACGTGATTTAAAGACGGATTTAGTGATGAAAGGGTTAGAAAAGAAAAGGAAAAAACTATTAAAGGTTTTGGGTTAAAACAAGACAGAGACAAACCAGGACTAAACGTGGACTAAACCTGGACTAAACCAGGACTAAACCTGGACTAAACCTGGACAAAAGCAGGACTAAACCTGGACTGAACATGAACAGGGAACATGAAGAGATGAGGAGTTATTTGAGATGTTTTTTTATGAAAGTCTCACCACCAAATCCTCGGCCGCGTCCTTTGAGGGGCTCCTCTGCCGGTTTACCATCTGAAACGAAGTGAAAACTTTTAAAAAAGAGGAAAAAAACGAAACGAAGAAGTGAAGTGAAGGATGGAACAGGAGCCAAGACGGAGGACAGACACGAGACGCAGATGTTTATGAAGGTGTTTCAAGACGAAGACAAGATCATGGACGGTTAAACAAGATGGAAGAAGATTAAAATAAATGAAGAATGAGTTTTGTTTTTTACAGCTGAGAGATGAAGAAACAAAGAACAAGAGTTTATCTGATGAAGAAGACAAGATGGAGGACGATAAACCTTCTCAACCTGGACAAATAAGATGAAATTAACCAAAAGATGAGTTTAGTTTACGGTTAATGGATGAAGACAAAGATGGTGAAGATGATTTTTGGACGTTTTGGATGAAGAAAACAAGAAAACAAGATGATGGACAGTCTGGTGAAGATGGAGGACAAACGAGACACAAAATGTGGAGACAGTTTCCGGTGTGACACAGATGTTTAAAAACGTGGAGATCTCTTATGGAGGATGGAGAAAGCAAAGCAAGACAAAGATTATATCTGAGCAGGCTTTGGTGGAGAAGCAGATGAAATGACCAAATGAGATGGTCGTTTGAGGATGAAATGGATTTGTGGAGATGGTGAGATGTTCTGGCAGCTCCCTGATCACCTCGTTTCGCTCCCGTCGGCCCCGGGACCTCTCTGGCTCCGTCGGTCTCGGTCCAGTCCTGATCTGGTACCATCTCCCAGGCCCAGACCTCGTCCTGGTCTTGGTCTGGTTCCTGGGCCTGCTCTTCAGACACCTCCTCCTCTGGTTGGGTGGGGACCTTCTCCACCTGGATGCTCCTCGGCGACACCTCCTTCACCAGAGGAAGCCTGCTCTCGTCGCCAGGTTTGGGTGGAGATTTCTTCTGCTCCACCGGTTTCGCCTCAGATGGTTCTTCTTTCTTTGGAGATGTTCTGAGTTTTGGTTTAGGTTCTGGTTTAGGTTCTGGTTTAGGTTCTGCTCTGGGTTGTAGTTTAGGGACTTTTTCAGACTCTGCGGGAGACGCTTTCTTCTCTGGAGTCTTCCTCAGCTCCACTGGTTTAATCTCTTCTTTTTCTTTAGGAGATCGTTTTTGCACCGGCGTCTTCTTCAGCTGAACCGGTTTAGTCTCGGGCGGTTCTTCTTTCTGTGACTTGAGTTTAGATTCTGGTTTAGGGACTTTTGGAGGAGCTGTCTTCTCCTCTGGTTTAGTTTTGGTCGGTTCTTCTGCCTTGGGTTTAGGGATCTTCTCAACCTTCTCCTGCTCTGGTTTAGGTTCTGGTGTCTTTTTCAACTCTGTTTCTTTCGGACTTGGTTTTGGCTCCTTCGTCTTCATCTCCTCTGGTTTAGGCAAACGAACCCTCTCCTGTGTGTCCCTCTCTCTCTCCACCCTCTCCCTCTCTTTCTTCTCCTCCGTCACGACCGCCTCTCCTCCCTCCTCCCTCGCTCTCTCCTTCTCTTTCTCCTGTTTCTGTTTCTCAAACGGTTTCAACGTCACCACCTCCTGCTCCTCTGGTTTCTTCGGTAACAGTTTGATTTTGCGTTTGGTTAAATCCGGCTCTGGTTCTGGCTCCTTCTCGGTTTTTGGCGTCCTCTCCCATCTTCCTCGCTCCTCCTCTTTGGTCTCCGGTTCGGTTTTCTCCTCCTCCTGCACTCGGATCGTCTCCTCTTTCGCTCTCTCCTCCCTGATCCTCCTCTCCACGGTCAGGATCTCTCTGTCCTCTCTCTCGTGGAGTTTTTTAACCGTCAGTTCTTCGTCGTAGACTCTCGTCACTTCGCTCTTGTGGCTGACCACCTCTTTCTCTGGTTCCTTCGGTTTCGTTGGAACCTTTTTCAGCGTCACTTTCTCCATCTCTGGCTCGGCGGGTTTGGGAGATCTTTGCACCGGTTTGAGTTTCACCTCCTCCGTCTTCTCCTCGTCTTGGGGCAGTTTTGAAATCTTCTTCTTCTCGATTTTTCCCTCTGGCGTCTCTGTCTTTTCTTTTGGACTTTTCTCCGCTCGTTTCCACGGTTCTTTCTGCGGCGCCTCCTCGTCCCTCGCCTGCCTCTGCGCCTCCTCGGCCTGCTCTAGCGCCACCGTGTGTTCTTCTGCTGTAAACACGCGCTCCATTCGCCCGATGCCCAGGATCTCTCTGTCCTCTCTCTCTCGGAGCTGATGCACGAACATTTCCGTGTCTGTGACTTTTGTGATTTCAGCCGTCACTGTTTCCACCTCCTTCTTTGGTTCTTTTGGTTTTGACGGGATTTTTTTAAGTGTCACTTTTTCGATCTCGACTTTCGGTGACATTTCTCTCTTCATAGCGTCTTTCTGTGGCTTAAGAACCTTCGGCTTCTCGATGATTTCAGGTTTTTCTTCCTGCGTTTTGGGAGATTTTTGCACCGGTTTGAGTTTCACCTCCTCTGTTTTCTCCTCCTCTTTCGGTAATTTTGAGATCCTCTTTTTCTGCACTTCTTCAGTTTTTGTTTCAGTCTCTTTGTGAGTTATTTTTTCTTGTTTTCGTGCCGGCGCCTCCTCGTGCCTCACTTCCCTCTGCACCTCCTCGGCCTGCTCTAGAACCTCCGTGTGTTCTTCTGCTGTAAACTCGCGCTCCATTCGCCCGATGCTCAGGATCTCTCTGTCCTCTCTCTCGTGGAGTTTTTTAACCGTCAGTTGTTCGTCGTAGACTCTCGTCACTTTACTTTTGTGGGTGATCACCTCTTTCTCCAGTTCTTTCGGTTTCGTCGGCACCTTTTTCAGCATCACTTTCTCCATCTCTGGTTCGGCAGGTTTAGGAGATCTCGGTGTTGGTTTAAGTTTAATCTCCTCCTTTATCTCCTCCGCTTTTGGCAGTTTTGAAACCTTCTTTCTTTCCACCTCTCCTGCTGTTTCTGTGGTCTTTGGAGTTTTTGGTTTCTCCTCTGGTTTGTGGTCTTCTCGTTTCACCTCCTCCTTCGTCTCCTCCTCTCTTTTCTTGGCTCTCTCTTTTGTTTCTGGCCGTTTGTCCAGTTTTTCTGGTTTGATTTTACCTGTGTCTTTGCTCTGCTCAGGCTCAGGCCGAAGTGGAGCTTTTGGTTCTAAAGGTGGAACTGTGTTTGGGAACAACAGAACTTCAAGAATACACAGAACCCAGACAGAACCCACATAAAACACACACAGAACCCAGACAGAACCCAGACAGAACCCATGGTATGTGACTTCTCTGGGGCATTAAAGAGGGGGTATGTCCTTTTCTAAATAACCGCGCAGAACTTTACAACTATAAAACAAAGAAAGCTGAGAACATCGACTGTCTGAGCATAATTCCGGCATTATCCACTCGTGCTCCGTTCATTTTGATTGAAGAGTGTAGTGAGTCTAAACCCTCGATGCTCTGAGCGTCTTTGTTCATAAGTGCAGAGATTTTTCAAATAAATGGAAAATGACACATCCTGGTCTGTGGGATTGTGCATCTGTTGTTATTTTTATGTTCAGGTTTATTTGAGTCCAAATGTCCAAATCCAAATGTAAAAACCTCTCAGGTCTGGAGGGTTCAACTGTGACACGTCACATATTTAGATCTGTGTTAATTTTATTGTTTTAAAAATGTTTTATTTGCCCAAAACAACAGATTCTCATGTTTTATAAGTTTCTCTTTCGTCACTCAGAGTCTCCCCTCCCTTTGCTCTCTGTGCTAAGTCACTCCCCCTTCGCAGTTTTGTGTCATGTTTTTGTATTTTTATGGAGAATTGTCGTGTGGGAGCCTGGGGGATGTAGGCTTGTGGGCGGAGCCTCGTACAGGCTCGTACCGCTAACCGTAAGGAGGGTTTCTAGATCACTAGATGACTCAGACATGCACGGATGAGTCTAAAACTTCTTCAGACAGATTTGTGACGAGGAGCAACGTTAGAACACGAGTGTGAAAGTCGATTTGGAGTCATACCCCCGCTTTAAGTCCAGACACTGAGAAATACAAATAATCACCTCAAGGTTTAAAATGATTTAAACGTGTCTAAAGTGTTTAAAGTTTTGTTGAAACTGTTTAAAGAGTTTAAAGTGTCGCTGCATTTACTGTAAAACTGTAGTTTGGTTTGAATGTGGAGAGAGTGAAATGTGGAATACCTTTAGTGGGTCCAGGGGCAGAGACGGGCCCTTTGTCTGCAAGAAGGTCCACAAGAGAAGAAATTAACCACAGACACATGGACGGAGAGAAAAACAGAGGGAGAGACAAAATAGACAGCAGAGAAGGTTAGTTTGAAGTGGAAACGAAGGATTTTTACATTAAAATATCAGAAAAGAAAAGGAGCAAGAATAAAACAGACAGGAAGTGCAGACCTTCACATTAAAAGACTGTACGTGTACATTTCACAGAACAGTGAGACTTTCACAGTAAAAGTCCTCACACACATGTATTTCACAATAAAAGCCTGTAGGTACCTTCAGGAGGAGCGGCCTCTGGAGACACGGCTCCTTTGGTCGGTTTGGCCTCCACTGGAGCTATAAGAAGACCAGGGTTAGACCGGGTTTAGACCGGCTTTAGACCAGGGTTAGACCAGAAGAAAGACCAAGTCCAGGTCTGGTCGAGTCCTGATAGAGTCCTGGTTCAGTTCTGGTTTCGTCTTGTTTTGTTATGTGGTCTAGTTCTGGTTCAGTCCTGGCTCAGTCCTGGCTCAGTCCTAGTCTGGTCTGGACTTGGTCTTTCTCTGGTCCAGGTGTCTTGGACAGTAAAATGTCCATTGATCGGGACAAAACACAAGATTATAGGAGAAACATGAGAAGAGTTAGAACATAGAGACATTCAGAAGAAAAGTGGACCAGAGCTGGACCACAGAGACCTGAAGTACCTTGGACCTCCTCAAACGGAGCGGCAGGTTTGGGCGGAGACGGTTGGCGAGCGGCCCTCTGGTCTTCAACGGGCGAAACTTAAGAATGAAAAGAACCAAGATCACAACCAGAACGACACAGGAGCTAAACCAGGAGGACTACAAGTACAGAGGAGAAAAACTACAAAACAGAACAGGAAGTGAGACAGACGAGGAAAAGCCCAACTGTAGGACTACAAACTGAAACAGGAAAAACTACAAATCTGGACAGGAAGAGACTAGAACCAAAACAAAAACACAAAAATCCTTAAATTTAAAAGGACTACAAATACAGAATAAAAAAAATACATAACAAAAAAACTACAAAACCGGACAGGAAGTGAGACAGACGAGAACAGGAAAAGACCAACTACAGGACTACAAACTGAAACAGGAAAAAAACTACAAAACAGGACAGGAAGCAGTTCAGATGCAGACAGGAAGAGACCAAAATTATAGCCAGAACTACTGAGGAGCTAAAGCAGGAGGAAAAACTACAAAACAGAACAGGAAGACTAAATCAAAACAGAAACACAAAAGTACTGAAATTTAAAAGGACTACAAATACAGAATAAAAAACTACAAAACAGGACAGGAAGTGGGACAGACAAGGAAAAGCCCAACTATAGGACTACAAACTGAAACAGGAAAAACTACAAATCTGGACAGGAAGAGACTAGAACCAAAACAAAAATACAAAAATCCTCAAATTAAAAAGGACTACAAATACAGAATAAAAAAAACCTACATAACAAAAAAACTACAAAACAGGACAGGAAGTGAGACAGACGAGAACAGGAAAAGCCCAACTACAGGACTACAAACTGAAACAGGAAAAACTACAAAACAGGACAGGAAGTGGGACAGACGGGGACAGGATTATGACCACAGTTTAAATCAAGAAGGACTACAAACATCATGAACAAACATGCAAAAACTACAAAAATGGAGGACAAGAGACAGGTTCTGACTTCAAAACACAAAATGTTTAAATCGTGAGAAGCCGTGAGAGCAGTTTACCTTTGCGAGGGGCAGGGGGAGGAGACGGGCGTTTTTCTTCAACACGAGGAGCTTTAAGAGGAAAAAGAACCAGGAAATAAACAAACGAAAACAAACAAAAACATTCAAAACACAAGATTTAAATGGACCAATGAGGACAAGAGACAGAGACAACCACCAATCACAGCGAGCCGTGACCGACTCTGACCAATAAGAAACAGTAAAGATTAGTTTAGTCCTTGCTCTACCTGCAGGAGGCGCCACCGGGGCAGGTTTAGGCTCCGGCTTCTTCTCTTCTACAGGAGCCACTTGGGGACAAACAAACAAACAAACAAACAGATTTAAACGAGACACAGAGACGCAGACCAATCAGAGGGAGCCGTGAGAGACTCTGACCAATCAGAAACAAGACTGAGCTCTACCTGCAGGGGGCGCCACTTTCGGAGGAGCGGGTTTAGGCTCGGGCTTCTTCTCTTCCACTGTGGGAACTTTAAGATGAGAAAGAAACAAGAATCACAAAAACAAACGAACAAAAGACGTGAAAACAGCAAAACAACGACGATGACGAGGTCGAGGAGGAGATTCCTGCGTGAAGTCGCCCGACAAACGCACAACTGCACACAAACTACTTCTGTTGTTTGTGCTTCGTTTGTGCTGTTTTGTGTGTGACTGTTTTCATTTGTGTGAGTTTATTTCTAAAATTATTCATTATTATTTTTGTGTAAATTATATTTTGGTCATCTGTGTTCAGCTGACGACAGCGACTTTAAACGAGTGAAGAGAAACGACCTGAGGCTGTGGAAAAGTCTGCATCAGTCTGTAGTAACTCACTTTGGATTCATATTTTAAAGAATCACACAGACTTTTCCACAGCCTCAGGTCGTGTCTCTTCACTCGTTTTGTGGAGTTTTACTAAAGTTTAATCTGTTCATGTGAGAAACGTCTGTGTCGTCCTCTCGTTTGTTTGTTCCACGTGTGACTCTCGACCCGCTCGTCCGACTGATCTCAAACTCGACGGGCGTCGTCCTCATGAGACGAGTCTGAGCAGCGCCAAGTTTTATGTTGTTACGGCAATTTTTTTTAAATATAAAGAACTTCTGGAGTCTTCAGTTTTATCTGCCCTCTCCAGTCTCCTGGTAAAGAATCATTTTACTGCAAAAAACAGCACAAATGAAATAAAAACGACTGACGCAGTTTTTGTGTAAGTGTGTGTCGGACGGGCGACTTCACGCAGGTGGAGGAGATTCAAACGGACCAATGAGAGCGAGCTACAGAGACTCTGACCAATGAGAGCGAGCCACAGAGACTCTGACCAATGAGAGCGAGCCACAGAGACTCTGACCAATGAGAGCGAGCCACAGAGACTCTGACCAATGAGAGCGAGCCACAGAGACTCTGACCAATGAGAGCGAGCCACAGAGACTCTGACCAATGAGAGCGAGCCACAGAGACTCTGACCAATGAGAGCGAGCCGTGACCGACTCTGACCAATCAGAAACAAGACTGAGCTCTACCTGCAGGAGGCGCCACTCTCTCTGGGGCGGGTTTAGGCTCGGGCTTCTTCTCTTCTACAGGAGCCACTTAGGGACAAACAAACAAACAGACAGATATAAACGGACCAATCAGGACGAGACACAGAGACACAGACCAATGAGAGCGAGCCGTGAGACTCTGACCAATGAGAGCGAGCCGTGAGACTCTGACCAATGAGAGCGAGCCGTGAAACTCTGACCAATGAGAAGTGAGTGAAGAAGTTCATGTGACTCCACAGACACTGTGGAACATTCCAGACAAAACAGAAGCATCTCCATGGAGACGAGCAGCCAAATCAGACGCTCCCTCACACAAATGAGACTCCATGTCCCATAATCCTCTGCTCTTTGCTCTGAAGTCGTTTCCTCATCACACACAGACCTGGAGCTGCGTACTGAAAAATGAAAACACTCTGTTCCACCTCGTGATGTCACGTGTCTGATTGTCTCCACTGAACTAAAGGGAAAAGGAGCTGTTCACTGGAAAACTACCACTTCATGATATCACAAGGTGGAACAGAGGGTTTGGAGCTTTGGAGATGTAGACAGAATAATAATAAAGAGTCACTCAAACAAACACAACTCCAGCTCTGAGTGAGACCAGGAACATCAGAACATCAGAACATCAGAACATCAGAACATGAGAGTTTGTTTCGTGATGTTTCTGCTCGAGCATTAAGTTTATTTTTTATACAGACTGTCCCAAAATCATTTCACAGGTCAATAATTTTTGCAATTCTTGGTGAAATAAGCTGAAAGTTTCACAGAGTGTTTAGAAACAGATGAAGATGTTTTATTTTTGTGGTGTTTTCAGGTTGAGTCGTTCTCTCCCAAACAGAATCATTTTGTGTCTTGAATCTGCTGCTCAAACTCACCAAGACTGAAACATCAACAACATTTGGAAAAACCTCACCAACTGGAAAAGCAAACTTGGACTTGGAACCAAAAATGTGCAGAGGAAGAATCTTCTGCAGGACTAAAGGATCTGGTGCCAAACTGTCACTGGATGAATCTGAGTTTCCAGAGTTTGTTCTTCTTACAAACTCTTGGGGCTTCAGGAGTTTTTCATGAACTTGCTCTTGCTTCTCTTCTGATGTTGATGTTGGTCCAGATCCTTTAGTCCTGCTTTTTTGTTGTTGTTTGTTTTGTTTTGTTTTTCCAGTCGGTGAAGTTTTTCCAGATGTTGTTGAAGCTTCAGTCTTGGTGAGTTTGAGCAGCAGATTCAAGACATAAAATGATTCTGTTTGGAAGTGAACGACTCAACCTGAAAACACAACAAAAATAAAATAAAATCTTGATGTGTTTCTAAACATTCTGTGAAAATTTGAGTTTATTTCAACAAGAACTGACAAAAATTATTGGCCTGTGAAATGATGTCACATTTTTTGAATTATCTGTCGTCTTTTCTGAGCTCTACCTGCAGGAGGCGCCACTCTCTCTGGGGCGGGTTTAGGCTCGGGCTTCTTCTCTTCTACAGGAGCCACTTAGGGACAAACAAACAAACAGACAGATATAAACGGACCAATCAGGACGAGACACAGAGACACAGACCAATGAGAGCGAGCCGTGAGACTCTGACCAATGAGAGCGAGCCGTGAGACTCTGACCAATGAGAGCGAGCCGTACAGACTCTGACCAATGAGAGCGAGCCGTACAGACTCTGACCAATGAGAGCGAGCCGTACAGACTCTGACCAATGAGAGCGAGCCATGAGACTCTGACCAATGAGAGCGAGCCGTACAGACTCTGACCAATGAGAGCGAGCCGTACAGACTCTGACCAATGAGAGCGAGCCGTACAGACTCTGACCAATGAGAGCGAGCCGTACAGACTCTGACCAATGAGAGCGAGCCGTGAGACTCTGACCAATGAGAGCGAGCCGTACAGACTCTGACCAATGAGAGCGAGCCGTACAGACTCTGACCAATGAGAGCGAGCCGTACAGACTCTGACCAATGAGAGCGAGCCGTACAGACTCTGACCAATGAGAGGTGAGTACAGAAACATGATCTCTACCTGCAGGGGGCGCCACTCTCTGAGGGGCGGGTTTGGGGGCGGGCTTCTTCTCTTCAGGAGGCGGGACTTCAGAACAAAAACAGACCAATCAGAACAATGCACAAGATCCAACGAGCCAATCAGAGCGAGCCCTGACAAACTCTGACCAATCAGAGGTGAGTTATGACGAGGGCGTCCTGTTTCTGCCGCAAGTCACGTCAAATGAGGAGACAGCGAGCTTCTGCTAACTGGAGGCACTGCTCTGTCTGACCAATCAGACGATCTGATGAAAACGAGCTCTTGAAATCACTGTGGGATTTTGTCAAGAGTTTTCAGATGATTTTAAAACTTTTCTGGCAGAGTTTGTTGACGTGTTCATTACTGCAAATGTAACTGCTGAACATTCTGCCGCAGACATTAAGGTGATCAGAATTTCCAACTAAAAACTGGGACATCCCTGTTTTTTTGGTGGTTGGTAATAATAAAATTGTTAAACGACTGAGAAGTTAAGGTGAATTGTTCTGCAGAAACAATTCACGACCAACATGAGTCAGTAAAGTCACATTTTATTTGTGTTTTGGACATTTTTAAGCAGATTTTGTGTATGTCTCTCTTTACTATTGCAGGATCAGACTGGTCCAAAACAGAGACACTGGGACATTTCTGGTATAAAACTGGGACAAATCAGTGGTTTTGTATAAATCTGTGGGACTGGGACTGTCCCGGAGAAACAGGGACGACCAACAGCAGAAACAGGACACAGGAAGAGACGACGCAACCTCCGTGATGTAACTCAACGAACGTGATTCCTGCTGGAGGTTTGTGGAACTTCCGATTAATGTTTTTGTGTGTAAATGTGTGTGTGTGTAGGTGTGTGTGTGTAAGTGTGTGTCGTATTCTCCAGCAGTTTCATAAATCTGCAACCAACAAACTCCACAAAGGAGAAACATTCTTCATGAACAATTTATCCACAACGATCAAGAGAAGAAAGAACAAAACTTAAAGGAAACAACGAGTCACATGAGTCACACAACAAACTCCACTCATGTTCTGATGTTACAATTGTTGTGGATAAATTCTTCATCACTGCGAAAATCTTGGCCAAAACTTAAGATATAAACACTTAAATCAATCAGAAAATGACTTAAAAGTAGAGAAACGATGTGTTCATGCAGCAAGATCATTTTACTGACAAGTTTTCTTAAAATAAACTAGACGAGAATGAAGCGTCTCAGAACCAGTAAGAAGAAAATAAATCTGAAAACAAGTCGAAAAACCTGATGTAAGTTTGAAAATCTTGGCCAGATCAGAGAAATTTGTAGGCAGATTTATGAAGCTGCTGGAGAAAACAACACACACCTACACACACTCACACACACACTTACACACACACTTACACACACATTCACACACACAAACATTAACCGGACGTTCCACAGACCGACAGCGGGACACTTCAGACGTGTGTAAACGGTTTGTTCTGGGGTTATTTCGTCCTGTACCTGCGGGAGGCGCCGCTCTCTCAGGGACGGGTTTGACGACGGGTTTGGGGACGGGTTTGGGGACGGGCTTCTTCTCTTCAGGAGGCGGGACTTTAAGATGAAGAAAAAAAAGAAGAAGAAGAAGAAGAAGAGATCACAAACATTAAACATTCAAACGGCCCAATGAGAGCGAGTCATGAGCGACTCTGACCAATAAGAGGTGAGTGACAGAAACAGACACAAGTTTAAAACACATTTAAATAAATAAAGTTCATGATTAAAGAGTCCTGAGCTCTACCTGCAGGAGGCGCCACCGTCTCCGGGGCGGCGGGTTTAACGACGGGTTTGGGGACGGGCTTTGGCGCTTCTACAGGCGACACTTAGGGACAAAATGAACAAAAGTCACAAACAAAACATCGAACATTCAAACGGACCAATGAGAGCGAGTCGTGAGCGACTCTGACCAATAAGAGGTGAGTGACACACAAACAGGGTCATGTGATTTCTACCTGCAGGAGGCGCCACCGTCTCCGGGGCGGCGGGTTTGGGGACGGGTTTGGGGACGGGCTTTGGCGTTTCTACAGGCGACACTTAAGGACAAAACAAAAACACATTTGACATTTAAACGGACCAATAAGAGCGAGTCATGAGCGACTCTGACCAATAAGAGGTGAGTGACATGAAACAGACACAAGTTTAAAACACGTTCAGTTAAATGAATCGTCTCCGTTCACGCTGACGTCACAAAACCAGGCGACGTTTGGAAACACGCGGATGACGATGTCCTTTGGGTTCTGTCGGCGTCAGGAACTCTGACCAAATCTGAGAAAACTGAGAAAATGCCCATTTTCTTCATCTCTTTGTTCCGTTTATAAATTACCTTTTCATTTGTGTATTATAATTTGTCTAACTTAATTTTAAAAACAGATGTGATCGTAGCGTTCCGTTGCGTTCGCTCGACAGTTCCCACAGCTGCCTGGGAGTGACGCTGAAGACGTGTTTGGAGTCTCGTCCCCTGTGGAAAGTTTTGGCAGGTTGTGAAGACGCTGCTGCTGAATCCTCGGTTTTATCACATGCCCAGAGTCGGGAAACACACCGATGTCGCGTCCGAATGTTGTGGTGCTTTGTCTATGTCCACGTCCCTTTATTACCACGTTTCTATTTAAACGTGCCGGTTTTCACACACGTTTTAGTGTCGTTATTCCCAGAGTTGGGAAAGTTTTAGTTCAAAGCTCAGTTCGTGAATTTCTAAATGGACTCGTTCTTTCATGGTTCATAATTGTTTATAGTTAATGGTTCGTTCATAGTTCCAAAAAATGAATTAGTTCATCGTTCTTTTCTTTTCTGTACTTTGCTGCGAGTTATTATTTTTCAGTATCATTACCAAAGCTCAAGAAGACTGAAATTATTTTATCAGTTTAACAATAAAACTGTGTTAAATTCATCTTCATATCAAATCTCCTGCAGCATGAGGAGCTGCTGAGAGACGACAGGGCCGCTCCTGTCATAGTCAGTGGGGCTTGGGTGGAGGATCTGTCTTGACTCTTTTGATTTTGTTCATGTTTTCATAAACCTCTAAAGTCTGGCCGAGTGTTTCAGTTCAGTGTCTGGTTTTAAGTGTGTTTTGTCTTGTTTCGGTGACGCGTGCGGCGATGTGACGCTGGGGGAGAGTTTTGTTGCCAGATTGAATGTTTTTCGGTTAAATATTGCAGGTTCTTTGCAGTGTGTTTAGTCGGGTTTTACCTGGAACTGTAAAGAAATGTGGCATCTTATTGAACGAAGTGAAACAGAAGCACAGGCCGCGCAGACTCCAGAGTGAACGAGCTCACAGTTCGATCATCAGGCAGTGAAAGGTAGAGTTCACTTCAGGCAGGTACAACACTGACTTTAACGACATGTCATATTTTTCTGAATAAATCTCCAGGGCCCATGCAGCCGCCGTTTTGTCCTAAGAGCTTTTTTTAAAATGCATAACTGTTTCCCCGGGCTGAGTTTGGACATTTTCCCGCTGTCTGGTTCCTTGGTGGCTGAAGTTTTCTCTGATCAGTGAAACATGAGAGCGTAAAGTATAATAGACTCACATTTTTATGATTCATGTTGGAAAAGCCAAATGTTTGAAAAATAGTAAAGTGATGCTGCTCTGACAATTATACGTCGATGTGTAAATAGTGGGATGTCAGAACAGCAGCGTGTGCTCCTGCATGTTTCCAAACGTCTTCTGCTCAGCGTGAACAGGGCCTATTAAATAACTAAAGTTCATGTTTAAAGAGTCCTGAGCTCTACCTGCAGGAGGCGCCACCATCTCCGGGGCGGCGGGTTTAACGGCGGGTTTGGGGACGGGCTTTGGCGCTTCTACAGGCGACACTTAGGGACAAAATGAACAAAAGTCACAAACAAAACATCGAACATTCAAATGGACCAATGAGAGCGAGTCGTGAGCGACTCTGACCAATAAGAGGTGAGTGAAACACAAACAGGGTCATGTGATTTCTACCTGCAGGGGGCGCCACCGTCTCCGGGGCGGCGGGTTTGGGGACGGGTTTGGGGACGGGCTTTGGCGCTTCTACAGGCGACAATTAGGGACAAAACAAAACACATTTGACATTTAAACGGACCAATAAGAGCGAGTCATGAGCGACTCTGACCAATAAGAGGTGAGTGACAAAAGAAAACACAACACAGACTAAAAACATGAACTGTGTCTGAATGGCCACGTTTACAGGATGTTTATTAATCATGAATTAAATTGTTCTGAAATAAATATTTTCCTTGGAGTTTACGTGGAAAACTCGACTTTATTTAACGAGCATGCACTGAATGACCAGAATTATTTTTAAGAAGAATAAATGTTTACATGATCAAGGAATAAATTCGGCTTTAAAATTGTTAAATAAAGTGAATGGATGAATGTTGTTCTGGACCCGGATCAGTGGGTGGGGCCGTTGCGCCTCTTGCACCCTTGAAGAAAACTCATAAAACTGAAAATTACGTAAAACTAAGAAATGAAACAGTGACACAGCTGTGCACGGTGACTCCTGAGCCAAAAAGTCCAGTGAGTCTGACTGTGAAATAGTGTGACTGTGAACAGCGCCCCCTGTGGGGGACAGCGTGGGCATTCAGACACAGTGGATCTGATGTAAAGAGTCCTGAGCTCTACCTGCAGGAGGCGCCACCATCTCCGGGGCGGCAGGTTTGGCGACGGGTTTAGCGACGGGTTTGGGGACGGGCTTCTTCTCTTCAGGAGGCGGCACTTTAAGATGAAGAAAAAAAAGAAGAAGAAGAGATCACAAACATTAAACATTCAAACGGACCAATGAGAGCGAGTCGTGAGCGACTCTGACCAATAAGAGGTGAGTGACAGAAACAGACACAAGTTTAAAACACATTTAAATAAATAAAGTTCATGATTAAAGAGTCCTGAGCTCTACCTGCAGGAGGCGCCACCGTCTCCGGGGCGACGGGTTTAACGACGGGTTTGGGGACGGGCTTTGGCGCTTCTACAGGCGACACTTAGGGACAAAATGAACAAAAGTCACAAACAAAACATCGAACATTCAAACGGACCAATGAGAGCGAGTCGTGAGCGACTCTGACCAATAAGAGGTGAGTGACACAAGAAAACAACAACAAACAAGAATGTGTTTACAGACGTGTTTTTACGTCTGTGGGGCATTAAAGAGAAGGTATTTAACAAATGTGCCGTTATGTTGCAGTGTTTGTCAAACTTTGTTCTACTGAGATCGTCTTTGATTTTCCGCTCTTCTTGTTTCTTGTGATTTTCAGCGACATGTTTGGAGGATTCTGACCCGGAGCTGTGTTGGTTCAGTTATTGGTTTCTCCGCTCTTTATTTAGGCGAGGTTATTTAACCAAATAAAGGCGGTGGACAAATTAAACTTGTGAGGAGAAATGTGATGCGGAGAAGTTACGTACTGCACAAATTTAAGACCAGATATAAAAAACCCGGGAGAGAAAGTTCCAAAAAGCACATTTTGCAGAATACCTCCTCTTTAAAGAAAATAAATAAATAAAGTTTATGTGAGTAAAGAGGCTGGTCCCAGCTCTACCTGCAGGGGGCGCCACTTTCTCAGGGGCGGGTTTGGGGGCGGGCTTCTTCTCTTCAGGAGGCGGGACTTCAGAACAAAAACAGACCAATCAGAACAACAAATAAGACCCAGCGAGCCAATCAGAGCGAGTCCTGACAGACTCTGGCCAATCAGAGAGCAGCTGTACCTTTGGGGGGGGGCGGGGCTGCGGGCCGCGGCGTTTCCACCTGAACGGCAGCTTCATACAAGAGAAGAAGAAGAAGAAATACACTCAAACCGACCAATCACAGCAAAGAACAATAATAAGAGCCAATCAGAGCGAGCCCCGACAGACTCTGGCCAATCAGAACATGACACAGAAAGAACAAACTGTTAAGAGAGTTAGAGTCCTGGTCTAGTCCGAGTTAGTCCAGGTTTAGTCCTAATTCAGTCCTGTTTTAGTCTGGCTTTAGTCCCGGTTCAGTCCGGGTCCAGTCCGGGTCCAGTCTGGGTCCAGTCCGGGTTTAGTCTCTGTTAGTTTTAGTGACATTTATAAAGATGCAGTTCCTTGCTGTACCTGCGGGAGGAGCCACTTTTTCTGGGGCTGGTTTAGAAACAGGCTTCTTTTCTTCTTCTGCAGGAACTTAAGAATAAACAAAACCACAAAATCAGACAAAAAAACTACAAAAAGAACTACAAACAGACAGGAAGTACTACAGACAGACAGGAAGTACTACAAAGAACGACACATTTCAAGAGTAAAAACATTGAAACAAAACAACAAAAACCACAAACAAGATAAAGAACTACAAAGAGCATTTACCTTTGTGAACCACAGGGGGCGCTGTGGGTGTGGGCGGCCGTTTGGGTTCAGGACGAGAAACTTTAAGAGTTAAAAGAAAAAACTGAAACTAAAACAAGACAAACAGAGAAACACAAACACGTGTAAAGATTCCGGCCGAGCTGTACCTTCGTGAACCACCGGGGGTGCCACCGCGGGCGCCACCGCGGGCGCCACCGCGGGCACCACAGTGGGCGCCACCGCGGGCGCCACAGTGGGGGCGGGTGCTGTGGGGGCGGGCGCCGCAGGAGCTGGTGCAAACCGCTGTTTGGGCTCAAGCGCTTCACAAAGAGGAAGAGAAGAAGAAGAGAAGAAGAAGAGGACGACCGTGAAAAAGATGAAACGTTAGAAAAATAAAACCAAAGAGACGGAGAAAGAGAGAGAGAAAAATACCTGCGGGAGGCTCGGGGGGGACCCTCTCCACCACAACTTTAAGAAATCACAAAAACAAATCAGAAAATAATGAAGAGGAAAAGAGAGAGAAACAAGATGGAGGGATGAGGGTGATGAAGATGGAGGGATGAGGGTGATGAAGATGGAAAATGAAAAGATAAATATTTAAAAGAGTAAAACGTGAAAGAGGCGATGGAGCAGTGAAGGAGGGTGAGGACGGAGGAGTGAAGGAGGATGATCGGTCGATGGACGGATGGAGCGACGGAGGCGACGCGAGGTGAAAGAGTGAAGAGGTTAAAGGTCAAACAGGACAAACAAACATGGAGAACACAGAGGACAGGCGTCACCATGGAAACAGAAAGCGTCTTTTTACTGAGAACAACAGCCACGTTTACATCATGTTTTTAATTCTGAATTCAAATCTTTTCATTGTAGTTTCCATGTAAATAGTAATAATAATAATAATAATAATAATAATAATAATAATAATAATGTTTCTTGTTGTTTGGTGTTAAACTGTTAAATGTTTTTTATTTCATGTGTGTGAGCGTCTGGGGGAGGTTCTGATTGGACAGAGACACCAACAGATTTAAACACAAACACTTCAGCTGCTCCCCACTTTTCTGTCATCTCAGTTTGTCGTCACAGACACAAATGGAATTGATTTACAGTCAAATATTTCAATGATACTTTTAAAACATCGAGCAAAAAAGTCTAAACCAAAATACCGATCCTGGATGTTTTGGTCCTTCTCATTGGACTTTTTGGTGCAGTTTTGGCACAGACGTGGGTTTGTGCCAAAACTGCACCAAAACATCCGGAAGCGCAAACGAGGAGGCTGGAATCATAACCAAAAAAAAACAAAAAAAACAAAAACCCCAGCATCAAACAAAACGGAGAAAGACACGGAACAAAAACAAAATGTTTCCAAAGAGGCAAAGACAAATATTTTACACCATTACACAAATAATTTGATCGTAAGTTTATTTATTTTATTTCATTTTACTTTTTTTATTTGATTTTTGATTTATAATTTTTTGCTCAATGTTTTAAAATCTTCTTTAAACTGTTTGACTCAAAATTCATTCCACGGACACAAACATGAACCAAACTTTTTCCTCAGTGGTTCCGATGAGATTTGTGCAGCAGCTGGAGAATTTTCTCTCATCACGTTTTACGCTTTAGAATTTATTTTATTCAGAATTAAAGCTCTTATGTAAACATGGCAAATGACTCGTTACTCTGCCCACTACTACTACTACTACTACTACTACTACTACTACTACTACTACTACTACTACTACTACTACTACTACTACTACTACTACTACTACTACTAAAAAACGACTACATACGACACTAATGGAGAATTCTCTTGAAGAAACCCAAATGAGGTGATGGACTTTAAGAATGTGATGAGTCAGATGACCAAAAAAGAGATCTGCGTTGAAAAGGTTCTGGTTTAAAGAGTACCTTCTGTTTTACCTGAGGGAGCGCCCCCTGTGGACAGAGCCTGGAGCTGCTGCAGCTCGTTGTCACGTTTTAACTCGTCTCTCTGAGCTCTTTCTTCATCTTTTTGAGTTTGAACCTTTCGCCTTGTGGTTTGAGGACGAGTCTGTTCTTTTGTTTCTTGTCTAACCTCTGTTTTGCGTCTCGGTTTGGTTTTCGGTGGAATTATTTCTTCTTCTTCTTCTTCTCGTCGTCCTTCAGAAACAGTCTGTGGTGAATCTTCTGGAGCTGCTTCTATTTTAGTTTCGTCTAAAATTGTGGAATCTTCTGCACCTTCTGTCCACTTTTCTAAAATCACTTCTTCTTCTTCAAATAAAACTGTAGCTGGTTCCAGAGTTGTCTTCATCTTTTTGGTGACATCTGAACCTTCTTCTGCCGTCTTCTCTGATTCCATCTGTGGTGAAATGATTCGATCTTCGGCTGAACCTTGGGTCACTTCCAGAGATTTCAAACGATCTTCTCTTCCAGAGCTTTCCTCTTCGTATGAACCAAACTTTCGTCTTTCTTCAGTAAATATTTCGGTTTGAGGTGGAACTCGTCTTCTTCCTTCCTCTTTGGTCACCTCCAGAACCTCTCCAGATGTTTCTACTCTTGAAGCTGCCTCTGGTCTCTCTGCTCTTCGTTCTCCTTCGTCTTTCAGTTCAGGTTTTAGACTGACCTTTTCAAACACGGCCGACATTCCTTCTTGTTCTTTTTTCATCTTTTCTGAAATCTCCTGAGCTAAAACCACGTCTTTGGTTTTCGGTTTTGACAGTTTTAACTCAGACATTTTAGGTTTTTCTGAAACTTTCTTCGCTTCTATTTTCAGCCCAGCTTCAGGTCTTTTGTCTTTGGTTGTTTCTTTTTGTTTTGTTTCTAGTTCCTCACGTTTGGCTGTCTTCTTCTTTGGTGTTTTTACGACAGTTTCTCGCACAATTTCAGGACAAATTCTTTCTTCCAGGTCTTTAGTTTCCCTTAAAATGTCGGAATCTTGTTTTGGAGTTTTAGTTTCGACTAAAAACTCTTGAGACTTGCTGGACACTTCGATTGTTCTACTGTCTATGTCAGTCTGGGGCAGTTCTGGGGACGTTTCTCTAAAAAGTTTGGGTTTATCGTTGCGTTTGAACATTTTCACCTTTTCTTCTTGAGAAACTGACTTTTCCTCAGAAACTAAAATCTTTTGAGTCGTTTTAACAGCTTCTTCTAAAACACTGATCTTCTTAAATGTTCTGTTCAAATCTTCAGTTAAGTCGGCCATTTCGTCTACTGGCTTTGGCTCGTCCTCCGTTTTAGATTCATCAGTTTTTTCTTTCACTCTTTGTTTTTCTGATTTAAAAGATCGAACCCAAGACAAAAAAGACAAAGTTAAGAATGTAAGAAAGAGATTATTTGGGTAAAATTTGGGTAAAAGATGAAAAATTAAAAAAAGATGAGATGTTAAAAATGTGAAAAAAAGAGTTATTCCTTACTAATCCTGTGTAAGTAAAAGATGTTGTAGTGACTCCAAACGCTGTTAAACAACGACAGAACTCCAAGAAAGAAAAGCTGCGTCTGAACAGCAAGTTTGAGTTTATAATTTCACTCACAATTTACTGTAAATATAAATTAAAACAAACCAAATGTAATGCAGAATTAATTCATTCCAGAGCTCTTTGTCTTTCAAAACATAAAGTTCTTATCTTCATTTTTTTAAAGATGTTTCCGTTTATGGTCGTACAAACTAATAATAATGATAAAAAAAGTTTATTGTTTATTTATCAGTAAGTAAAATAATGTTAAGTAAAAGCCTGTGTTTAGTTAATACTCGTGTTTTACGTCTGAATATTTTCTGGGAGCAGGTTATCAAAATAAAAGCTCACAGCAGCACAGACACACACATTACACAGGGATGGACACACAAAGACTCTTATTGTGAAAGATGACGGTTAGTGACAAGATGTTCTCCAGCTCAGACTGTTACCTTCGGCGGTTCGAGGTGGTTTGAGTTCCTTTGGTTTTTCCGGCACAACTTTCGGCACTTCCTTCGGTTTTTCCAGCACAGGTTTTGGTGTTTCCTTCGGTTTTTCCGGCACAGCTTTAGGCACTTCCTTCGGTTTTTCCAGCACAACTTTCGGCACTTCCTTCGGTTTTTCCAGCACAGGTTTTGGTGTTTCCTTCGGTTTTTCCGGCACAGCTTTAGGCACTTCCTTTGGTTTTTCTGGCACAGGTTTTGGCGGTTCTGGAGCCTTCTTTGGTTCTACCTTCTCTGGCATTTCTGTAACTGTTGGTTTTGCCTCGACGTAAGATTCCTGTGTCACGTGAACCTCTCTAACTTCTGCAATAACCTGTTTTTGCCTCGACTCTAGCTCTTTAACCTGAATTTGTGCAGATGTTTCTATTTCTTTTGGTTTTTCTGTCACTACTTTTTGAATTTCTGGAGCTTTCTTTGTCTCAACCTTCTCCACTTTCATCTGTTTCTCCTGTGTCACTTTCACCTCCATAACTCCTGAGATCACCTGCTCCTTTATCAGTATCTTCTCTTCTCGTCTCAGGTCACAGTCTTTAACTACAGTTCGCATCGGTTGTTCTAGTTCTTCTGGCATCGGTTGTTCTAGTTCTTCTGGCTCTCGTTTGGGTGTCACCTTCTGCACTGTGATCTCAGCTTGTTCCACAGACCTCTGGACCTGTCTAACCTCTGAGATGACCTCTTCTTTCTGAATGGTTTGAACCTGAGTTAGACGTTCTGTTTCTAGGCTCCTCTTTGGTTCTACGTGAATTATTTTTGGCGTTTCTGTGACAAACTCCTCAAATATTTCCGCTTTCCTGATGCCAATCGCCTTCTTCTCCTCCTCAAAGATCATTTCTTGAACTTGAATTTTGCGTTTTGGTTCCAAAACCGTCCGCGTCGTTTCCTCTTCCAAAACGACTTTGCGAGATTCCACCATTTTCTTCCCCTCCTCCACTTTGGAAACTTCAACTTTTGTTTCTTGAATCTTCTGAATTTGTTCTGGAAAATCGGGTCCGGAAGATTCTGGAGCAACTTAAGAAGAATATAAGATGATTCACAAGATTTACACAGAGCACTCTGACGAATGCAGAAAAGAGGACAGACTCAAACACTGAACAGAGACAGGTTCAACAGGCTTAAAGAGAGACAGGTGCAACTTAAAGAGAGACAGGGGCAGTATAAAGAAAGACAGGGACAGTACCTTTGGACGGGACTTGTGCGGGTTTCTCGGGGTAAACCTCCTGGAGTCGCTCCTCGGGTTGGACTTTGGGAGAAGAGCAAGAGTCACACACAAATACAGAAAGTGTAGAACAAAAAACAAAATGGTTTTATAAATGGAAGATGGAAAAAGGTGTGTTCACAGGTCAGACTCTGAGCTGGTTCTGTAGAGGCTGAAGTTTAGATGCAAAAATACACTTTTTAAAAGCCTGTACACAGAAGTATGTGAGCACTTTGACGATGTAAAAACTGCAAGAATAAATGAGATTCTAATTATAATAAGAGACTACAGGGGTTTATTATTTGAACACTGAACCAGCTTACAGTCTGTCCTTTGTGACAGAAATACAAGATCAGACCTGAAATCCTGAGCAAAGACACTTGAAACACTTAAAAACATTAAACTTCAGGCTGCGGTCTGAGTGTTTACCTGAGACGGCAGGCGCGGCGGGCACCGTGACATCGCCAGGCCACTCCTTCTCCCGGTCGAAAGCTTTTCACAAGAATTAAAGAAAAATAAGAAACGTACACGGATGAGGACATTAAGAGACAGAAACATGAACCAGTTTGGAGATTTTTACAACGTTTAAAGAGACGATCACAGACACAGAAAAGGACAGCACCTTAAGTGAAATCGCTTAAAGATTGGGTTAATTTTCACACATGCAGAACTGGATCTTTTCTAATAAAATAAGTCTGAAAACTGAAAAGGCTTTTATGGAAGCAAAAGCAACAAACTTCTTACTTAAGAGAATGAAAATCTGCGAAATCGGCAGCAGAAAGAAGCAACAAACTCAACACGTAAAGACGAGAAACAGAGAAACAGCCCCAAAGAGGTTTAAGCCGAGAGAGACAGGTGAAGCTCTACTCTACAGGAGCAGACAGGTGAAGCGTGTCTGGCAGGTGAAGCAGGGCTGACAGGTGAACAGTACCTGGAGCTCGGGCGGCGTCGACTTCTTTTCGCTCCATCGTCTCTTCCACTCGCTTCCTGCCGTCTGCGTGAGAAACACCCATCAGACACGCGACCGTATAAGGGCGAGGGGAGGGGCCAAAGGGAGGGGCTAACCATGTAAAGGGGAGGGGCTAAAGGGGCGTTTACCTGAGACAAACCGCAGAGAGACTGACTCCGCCTCCAACCGCGAGATCAATGAACACAAAGTTTAACAGGTTTAAATCGGACGAGAGGAAAGTCCTGGATTCACCTGCGATCTGACAGGTGCCTGACAGGTGCCTGACAGGTCAACCTACAGCATATTTTATTTTAACATTTAGAAGAGTTTCCTTGAGGGTTTCAGTGACGTGAGTTTCAGTTTTATCTTTTATCGTTTGTACTGTAAAATACCAAATAATATCTGAGGTGTTTATTTGTTTCAGTCATTTAAAAGACCAGGCTTTTATTTGAGACCAGGAGGCAATTTGGGATTAATTCCTTCCTCACAAAAGTCTTGCTCAGCAAAACTAGAAAAATCTGGTCCTCAAATTCTTTCACCCAGTCTGACCATAATTTACAGTTTTTATATGATGTCAGAGCGACTCCTTTGCCTTTACCTCGTGGGCTTGATTCCTGCCGCCTCGTCCCTGACCTTTTCTCTCCCGTTTGCCACAACTTTCCTCTTACACCACAGCAGCTACAGTCACATCACTGCTTCCTCCAGTCACCAAACTGAAGCAATTTTACCAAAACTCCTAAAAACTGCTTAAATTTTCTGCTCGCTGTGTTGCTTTGTCTTTCTTTTTTACGTCACTTGCAAATTGGGATTTCACCACAGCGTCGTTGGACGCAGCAGAGAATAGAGCCTGTCCACACCGAGTCACACGACCAGACTGGTGTGGGCAGGACTGACCTGAAGTCAAACTGCTCCTGTCGCTGTAAACAGGGGACCCGGTGGTTAACTGAAACCCAGATATTATTTGGTATTTTACAGTATTTATTAAATATACGTCTACTCCAGACGTGTTTAAAAAACTATTATGTCACTTTTCCTCTGGACCTGTGGTCATGTGATCAGAACCAGCTCAGTCCAGGACTTAAACCGGTCTACAGAAGCGTGAGTGAGGACCAGGGGCCTGAGGGAGAGGAGGAAGAGGAGGAGGGACTGAAAAGGGTTTGTGCGTCTTTAATTATGGGATGAAGGTCATTTTATGGGTTACTATGGCGATGGAGGAGAAGGGGGGAACTCGGGGGAAGTGTTCACTTCCTGTTTACAAACTCACTCAGTTAAAAATGTGACTCAGTGAAAGTGAAAGTGAGCGATACCTGGGGCGTGAGTCCGCTCCTCCACAGAGTAAAACTCGCTCCGTTCTTCAACCAAAACAACCGTTTAGACTCAGATTTAACGTTTAAAATGACATTTTGAGTTACGTTTTCTGCTCTACCTTCGGTCTGAAGGACGCGTGCGATTCTTTCCTCTTTTACCTCGAATCGATCGAATGCTGACGAGTGTTTGGGTCGAAAGGATCAGGCACAAAATCAAACAAAAATAAAGAAACAGAAACACACTGAAGATACTGGACCAAAGAGACACAGAGATACGACACACGGAAGTGTAAGAGGAGCAAGGAGACAAGGAGGCAAATAAGGAGGCAACTAAGAAGACAAGGAGACAATTAAGGACGCAACTAAGGAGACAAGGAGACAATTAAGGAGGCAACTAAGGAGACAAGGAGACAATTAAGGAGGGAAATAAGGAGGCAAGGAGGAAATTAAGGAGACAAGGAATCAACTAAGTAAGCAAGGAGGCAATTAAGAAAACAAGGAGGCAACTAAGGAGGCAACTAAGGAAGCAAGGAGACATCTAAGGAGTTTATGAACAAAGGAAGAGATTAACAAGCGAAGGAAAGGAAGCAAAATAAGGAGTTAGGACACGAGGAGACAAAGCAGCAGAGACAAGGGTCCTACATGAGAGGACAGGTGTCTCTTACAGGCAGGGGGACAGGTGAGACAGGTGTGTGGACAGGTGTGTGGACAGGTGTACAGGTGTACAGGTGTGTGGACAGGTGTATGGACAGGTGGAGAAGTGTGCTCATACCTCCCACAGTGAGCTGGGCACTGGACATGTCCATGTTTGGACAGGTGTATGGACAGGTAGAGGACAGGTGTAAGGACAGGTGTGAGGACAGGTGTGAGGACAGGTGTGAGGACAGGTGTGAGGACAGGTGTACAGGTGTGTGTACAGGTGTACAGGTGTGATCGTACCTCCCACGGTGAGCTGGGCGCTGGACATGTGCGTGTTTGGACAGGTGTACAGGTGTGTGGACAGGTGTATGGACAGGTGTGTGGACAGGTGTATGGACAGGTGTGTGGACAGGTGTACAGGTGTGTGTAAAGGGGTGTGGACAGGTGTGTGTAAAGGGGTGTGGACAGGTGTGTGGACAGGTGTGAGGACAGGTGTATGGACAAGTGGACAGGTGTGAGGACAGGTGTACAGGTGTACAGGTGTGAGGACAGGTGTACAGGTGTGTGTAAAGGGGTGTGGACACGTGTACAGGTGTGTGTACAGGTGTGAGGACAGGTGTATGGACAGGTGGACAGGTGTGAGGACAGGTGTACAGGTGTGAGGACAGGTGTACAGGTGTGTGGACAGGTGTGAGGACAGGTGTATGAACAGGTGGACAGGTGTGAGGACAGGTGTGAGGACAGGTGTATGGACAGGTGGACAGGTGTGAGGACAGGTGTACAGGTGTATGGACAGGTGTACAGGTGTGTGGACAGGTGTGAGGACAGGTGTATGGACAGGTGGACAGGTGTGAGGACAGGTGTACAGGTGTGTGGACAGATGTGAGGACAGGTGTATGGACAGGTGGACAGGTGTGAGGACAGGTGTACAGGTGTATGGACAGGTGTACAGGTGTGTGGACAGGTGTGAGGACAGGTGTATGGACAGGTGGACAGGTGTGAGGACAGGTGTATGGACAGGTGTACAGGTGTGTGGACAGGTGTGAGGACAGGTGCATGGACAGGTGGACAGGTGTGTGGACAGGTGTGAGGACAGGTGTATGAACAGGTGGACAGGTGTGTGTACAGGTGTGAGGACAGGTGTATGGACAGGTGTACAGGTGTGTGGACAGGTGTGAGGACAGGTGTATGGACAGGTGTACAGGTGTGTGGACAGGTGTGTGTACAGGTGTACAGGTGTGTGGACAGGTGTGAGGACAGGTGTATGAACAGGTGGACAGGTGTGAGGACAGGTGTACAGGTGTGTGGACAGGTGTGAGGACAGGTGTATGGACAGGTGGACAGGTGTGAGGACAGGTGTACAGGTGTGAGGACAGGTGTGAGGACAGGTGTGTGTACAGGTGTGCTCGTACCTCCCACGGTGAGCTGGGCGCTGGACATGTGCGGTCCACACACCACGCGGTAGTCTCCCTGGTCGTTGGCGTCGCACTTGAGGACCTTGAGCCAGTGTCGGTCTCCGGCGGTGCCGATGTCGTATTTGTCGCCGCGCTGGAGCTTCTGCGTTCCTTTGTACCACGTGAGCGAGATCTCGGGGTAGTTTATGCTGATCTGGCACTCGAACATGGCGACCGCGCCGACGCCGACCGCCTGGTCCTGGATGTCCTCCAGCACGTTCACCGGCTCCAGAAGAAACACGGCTTAGATTAGAGTCTGAACAAGGACTAAACCAGGACTAAACCAGGACTAAACCAGGTCTAAACCAGGACTAGACTAAACCAGGACTAAATCAGGACTGAACCAGGACTAAACCAGGACTAAACCAGGACTGAACCAGGTCTAAACCAGGACTAAACCAGGACTAAACCAGGACTACACCAGTTCTTACCTCAGTTCCTGCTCTCGTCTCCATCTGCTGCATGAATCGCGCCATCACTTCCTCCTCCACGGCGCCGCCATGCTCCACCTCCTGAGGGCAGACGGCCAATCAGAGCTCAGTGCAAACAGCACGCAGCCAATGAGGAGCCAGGATTACAGATCCTGACCCTGAAACTATGTTGGGAAAACTCTCCAAGATCTCTGCCTCCCTCATGGTTTCCTGATATTTCCATGTTTTTTTTGTTATTTTAGTGTTACTTTGGTGATATTTGGTGACGTTTCAGTGATGTTTTCCTGGTGTTTCGGTGATGTTTCTGTTATGTATCAGTGATGTTTCGGTGATGTTTTCTTAGTGTATGGGCGTGTCTCTCACCGGTTTTCCGCTGATCATGGCCTTCTCCTTCTTGAGGAACTCGATGGCCTGCAGGATGGCTCTGTAGTCGTAGATCTCGTGTTCTCTCAGGATCCTCTCGTAGTCTTTGGGGTCGTGTCCTCTCAGAAGCTCCACGATGTCCACGTCCTCACGCTTCGGGCTCTTCTGCTTCGACGGAGTCCTGGAAAACACGCAGTATGCAGTATTTGTAGTACTTGCAGTAGTAGTAGTAGTAGTAGTAGTAGTAGTAGAAGTATTAGTAGTGGTAGTAGTATTTATAGTAGTATCTGTACTTCTTGAGCGTGGCCCTGAAGTCTCCGGCTCCGCCAATCTCCTCTCTCTTGGTGACGCTGAGTTCGGCGGCGGTCTCGATCTCGCCGTGTTTGTTGGTGGCGACGCAGCGGTACTGCCCGGCGTCGGAGCGGGTGACCTCCCGGATCTCCAGACGGGCATCGGGACCCTTCTGCTCCACGGACACGCGCCCGCCGTGAGTCACCTGACGCCACTTCCCCTTCATCCACTTCACGCTCGGGATCGGATCACCGCCGAGTTTAGCAATGAAGGTCGCTGTGCCCTCTGCCAAAAGAGACGGGTTAAACCAGGACTAAACCAGGACTGGACCAAGACTAAACCAGCACTAAACCAGGACTAAAACTAGTCTAAACCCAGTCTCGGTCTTACTCTCGGGGGTGGAGATGTTCCGTGGTTCCTCGATGAAGAACAGGTTGTCGAGACGTTTCACCGGCGCCGGAGCAGCAGAGGGCGCTGCGGGTTCAGGAGCCGGGGCCTTGGTGCCAGAGTCTGAGGAGAACAAGACAATTAGACCCCTTGAAAAAAACGGTTAGGATCTTCCTCTAGACCTGGAGACCCGGTTGTGATCCGGCTCATACCTCTGACGGTGACGCGGGCCTTGCAGAAGTTGGCTCCGCTGGCGTTGCTGGCCTTGCACAGGTAGTCGCCGGCGTCGGTTTTGGCGCAGCCGGTGACCTCGAGCACCGCCGTGCCGTTGGAGAAGGTAATCCTGGTGTTTCCGGACGACACAAGCTCACGTCGATCCTTCATCCACTGAACCGTCAGAGGAACAGAACCGGTGATCGAGCAGCGCAGGGTGAGCTTATCCCCCTCGGCCACAGACACCGGTTTGAGAGGAGACGTGAAGACGGGAGGAGCGCCAGACTCTGAGGATGAGAGGAGGAGTTAAAGACATGGAGATAATGATTCTGAACTGAGGTTTCTGTGTTAAACTGGTGAAATGTTTTTTATTTAACATGTGTGAGCGTCTGGGGGGTAAGGTTCTGATCAGACAGAGACACTAACAGATTTACGTCTTTGGGAAGAAAACACACTTCAGCTGCTCCCGGCTTTTCTGTCATCTCGGTTTGTCGTTCCTCCACGGACACAAACACCGTCCAAACGTTTTCTACAGTCATTAACTTTAAGTTTAATTCCAAATAATCATTTTCATTAGAAATAAAATGTTTACATCGTCTTTTTAACCTTTCCAGACCTGAGGACAGTTTTAGTACATTTGTCCTCGCCTGGATTTTTTTATTTTAATTTTGTTTTTAAAACTTCCCTTTTTCCCCTGATGAAGTTGTTCTTCATCCTTTTTCTCACTACGACCTGTTCTGTCACAATCTGCTGCTCGACTCGACTCATGTGGCTGGAATAAAAACTACAGGAGCAGAAATTCTCTAAAAAACTCTTTTATACAAACTCACAAACGTGTACAAACAACTTTATGGACACACAAATGTTTCATTTAGAGCCTTAGGAACAAAAGTGCAAAATATCAAGTTTGTAAAAAAAACTACAAAATCTCCTTATTGCCTCGAAACAAAAAAAGTGCAGTGTCCCCATGACTCGACTGGTGCAGGTCATGGAAACAGCAGGAGTCAAGTCCAGGTCACAGAGACTCATCACTTCTGTGTTTCCATGAGTTTATTACATTTGGATTTGGACATTTAGACTCAAATAAAACAGAAAATAAAATTTCTGCACTAAGAGTTTCGACTTTTTCACTTGGTCTGACCCAGACGCTCAGAACATCGAGCGTTTTGACTCAACACACTCTTTGGTAAAGTTTGGACCAATTAAAATGGACGGAGCGACTTAGTTTGGACCAAAACGAAGTTCCTGTTGGACACTCGGTAAACTGGGGCGGGGCCTCGCGGAAAGAAGGCGACTGATTGGTCTGTTCTTTGTGTTCACATCTTTGTTTTGGACAAAATGTTGAAATAAAAAACACAGGATCAGAAATCAGGTCTAAAGCAGGACTACACCAGGTCTAAACCAGGTCTTACCGGAGATGGTGAGGGTGGTCTTGCAGGAGGTCTTGCCGGCCTGGTTCTTCACGGTGCAGCTGTAGACTCCAGAGTCACTGGGCGCCGAGTTTTTCAGCGCGAGCACCGCCACGTTGTTCTCGAAGCTCGTCACCAGTCGGTCCGACGTCTGAACCTCGACGCCGTCTCTGGACCACACCACCGTCAGAGGAGGAGTCCCGGACACACGAGCCTCCAGACGCACCTCACGCCCAATGCCCTCCACCAGCGAGTCCGACGGGCGCTTCGTGAACGTGGGAGGGACTTTACGCTCTGCCGAGGAGGAGAGGAGGAGAAAGAGGAGAGAGGAACGAGGGACAAAGGAAGTGAAAGGGGGAAAAAAGTCAGATAAAGGAGCAGAGGATCAGAATGACGAGGGTTCAAAAGAAGAAGAATCCTCAAAACCATCAGAGAAAAACAGAGCTGAAAACTTCCACCAAATCAAGGACCAAACCAGGACCAAACCAGGGCCAAAACCAGGATCAAACCAGGATCAAACCAGGACCAAAACCAGGACCAAAACCAGGATCAAACAAGGACCAAACCAGGACAAAACCCGGACAAATCCAGGACCAAACAGAGCAGAGGAACAGGCAGAAGAACATGGGAAATATTGATCTTTAGGAACATGCTCCAGAAGAACCACACGTTCACTAAAACACCGGAAAACACAAAAACAACGAGAACAGAATCAGAACACAAAACTCGAGAGAAACTGTGTGAAACATGCAGAACATTCAGCAGGAACCAAAATAACCGTGCAAAGAGTCGCTGTGTTACGAATGTTCACACCGATCCACCAAACCACACCACATCTTCCCAAGATGGAGTGTCCCCCAACCACACCCTGAAACCACACCTTCCCAAGATGGCGGCTGCAGACACACTCACACAAAATGGAGGACATGCTCAAAATGGCGGAGACCAAAAACCAGAGTCAAACTCAGAGAATTCAGGAGGACAATTTCTAAAAGACTCTGACAGGAGGACCTTCTCCTGAACCTTCACCTGGACCTTCTCTTAGGCCTTCTCTTGGACCTCTCCTAGACCTTCTCCTAGACCTTCTCCTGGACCTTCTCCTGGACCTTCTCTTAGACCTCTCCTGGATCTCTCCTGGACCTCTACTAGGCCTTCTCCAGGACTTTCTTCTAGACCTTCTCTTAAAACTCTCCTGGATCTTCTCCTGATCTTCTCGCAGATGTTTCTTTGTTTTAAAATCGCAGTCACGATCGTGACACGTAAACACAAAAACCAGAGGCGCCCTTTACCCTGCCGGCGGCAGGAGCAGGGCGGGTGACGGTGACAGGTGTTACCTAGCCTGACGGTGCACTGGCAGGTGTCGTTGCCGTCGACGTTGGCGATCTCGCAGGTGTAGGTTCCGGCCGAAGCTTCTCTGTCGTTGTTGAGGACGTCGAGCTCGCAGCGCCCTCTGCTGGTCCGGACGTTGTACTGGTACGACGCCCAGATCAGTTTCCCGTCCTTTTTCCAGGTGGCGTGCACGTGCTCGCTGCCGGCGTACGTGCACATCAGGGTCAAAGGTCGCCCCAGCTCGTGAGAAACGTCCTGAAGTTTCCGCACGAAGCGAACGGGCTCTGAGGACGCAACGGAGGTTCAACCACAGGAAAAACATTCAGAAAAATAAAAGTGACAGGAGAAACAATAAACTATAAACAATAAACTCAAATGATCAACATACGACAACGGAAACGACGGAAACGACAAAACGCCAACGACAACACCGAAAAAACACAAAACAACAAAACCACGGTCTGGAAAAATGAATCAAACTGTTTTCACATTTTATTGTTTTTCATTTTTAATTGAAACTCAAAAGAACAAACGGCACACGGACGACACCAACGACAAAACGACAAAACAACGAAACAACGAAACTGAAATCCACGTCACATCATCCTCCGAGACCAACCTGAAGTGTTAGCACAGCAGGCTAAGTGTTAGCACAGCAGGCTAAGTGTTAGCACAGCAGGCTAAGTGTTAGCACAGCAGGCTAAGTGTTAGCACAGGTTGTTTTTGTTGCATGTTTAAGTTTAGTTTCTTCTTCTTGGCGCAACCTCGACTTGTGTTAGCATTATGTAGTGTGTTAGCATGTTAAATAGCGTGTGAACATGTTAGCGTGTTTACCTTACCTAGCATGACGTAGGCGTGTTAACGTGTTAGCATGTTAGCGTGGTACCTAGCGTGACGTAGGCGTGTTAGCGTGGTACCTAGCGTGACGTAGGCGTGTTAGCGTCTTACCTAGCATGACGTAGGCGTGTTAGCGTGTTAGCATCTTACCTAGCCTGACGTAGGCGTGTTAGTGTGTTAGCATGGTACCTAGCATGACGTAGGCATGTTAGCGTGTTAGCGTCTTACCTAGCCTGACGTAGGCGTGTTAGTGTGTTAGCATGGTACCTAGCATGACGTAGGCATGTTAGCGTGTTAGCGTCTTACCTAGCATGACGTAGGCGTGTTAGTGTGTTAGCATGGTACCTAGCATGACGTAGGCGTGTTAGCATGTTAGCGTCTTACCTAGCCTGACGTAGGCGTGTTAGTGTGTTAGCATGGTACCTAGCATGACGTAGGCATGTTAGCGTGTTAGCGTCTTACCTAGCATGACGTAGGCGTGTTAGTGTGTTAGCATGGTACCTAGCATGACGTAGGCATGTTAGCGTGTTAGCGTCTTACCTAGCGTGACGTAGGCGTGTTAGCGTCTTACCTAGCCTGACGTAGGCGTGTTAGTGTGTTAGCATGGTACCTAGCATGACGTAGGCGTGTTAGCGTGTTAGCGTCTTACCTAGCGTGACGTAGGCGTGTTAGCGTGGTACCTAGCATGACGTAGGCGTGTTAGCGTGGTACCTAGCGTGACGTAGGCGTGTTAGCGTGGTACCTAGCGTGACGTAGGCGTGTTAGCGTGGTACCTAGCGTGACGTAGGCGTGTTAGCATGTTAGCGTGGTACCTAGCGTGACGTAGGCGTGTTAGCGTGTTAGCGTCTTACCTAGCATGACGTAGGCGTGTTAGCGTGTTAGCGTCTTACCTAGCCTGACGTAGGCGTGTTAGCGTGGTACCTAGCATGACGTAGGCATGTTAGCGTGTTAGCGTCTTACCTAGCGTGACGTAGGCGTGTTAGCGTCTTACCTAGCCTGACGTAGGCGTGTTAGTGTGTTAGCATGGTACCTAGCATGACGTAGGCGTGTTAGCGTGTTAGCGTCTTACCTAGTGTGACGTAGGCGTGTTAGTGTGTTAGCATGGTACCTAGCGTGACGTAGGCGTGTTAGCATGTTAGCGTGACGTAGCCGTGTTAGCGTGGTACCTAGCGTGACGTAGGCGTGTTAGCGTGGTACCTAGCGTGACGTAGGCGTGTTAGCGTGGTACCTAGCGTGACGTAGGCGTGTTAGCGTGTTAGCGTGGTACCTAGCGTGACGTAGGCGTGTTAGCGTGGTACCTAGCGTGACGTAGGCGTGTTAGCGTGGTACCTAGCGTGACGTAGGCGTGGCAGGCGTCAGATCCGTCCTTGTTGCTGATCTCGCAGCTGTAGCGCCCCCTGGCCTCCTCGCGGTCGGCGTTGAGGACGTCCAGGACGCAGCTGCACTCTGTCGTCTTTACGTTGTATTTGTACGACGCCCAAATGGGGCGGCCGTCTTTCCTCCAGCTCACGCTCACGCGCTCCGACGCTCGGAACGCCACGCGCAGCGACAGCGCCTCCCCCAGGATGTACGAAGTATTCTCCAGTTTACGCACGAAACGAGGAGCCTCTGAGACGGTTAGAGCGAGAGGAAGAGGAAGAAGAGGAAGAGGAGGAAGAGGAAGAAGAGGAAGAGGAGGAGGAGGAGGAGGAGGAAGAAGAGGAAGAGGAGGAGGAGGAGGAGGAGGAAGAGAAGGAAGAGGAGGAGGTTATAAAGCAGAGGGCAAAGGCAGTGTTAGTGAAAAGTCCAGTGAAGTTGACGTTGCAGTAGTTGCAGTATTATTTGCAGTAGTATCTGCAGTAGTACTTGCAGTATTATTTTCAGTAGTCACAGTATTATTTGCAGTAGCAGTCGCAGTCGTATCTGCAGTATTATTTGCAGTAGTCGCAGTATTATTTGCAGTAGTTGCAGTATTATCTGCAGTAGTCGCAGTATTATCTGCAGTAGTTGCAGTATTATCTGCAGTAGTCGCAGTATTATCTGCAGTAGTTGCAGTATTATTTGCAGTAGTCGCAGTATTATCTGCAGTAGTTGCAGTATTATCTGCAGTAGTTGCAGTATTATTTGCAGTAGCAGTATTATTTGCAGTAGCAGTATTATTTGCAGTAGCAGTATTAGTACCTCTCTTGCTCGTTCTGCACAGCACGTAGGCGTTGCTGGAGACGGAGCTGCAGCTGTTGGACACGGTGACGCAGTACTTTCCTTGCGCCTCCTCTCGGTCCGAGTTGAGGACCTCGAGGCGACAGGAAGTGGGCGTGGTCTTGACGTTGTACTTGTACGACGCCCAGATGGGTCGGTCGTCTTTGGTCCAGCTCACGTGAATCCTCTGACTCCCGGAGAACCTGCACTCCAACGCCAACGGCTGCCCCAGCGAGAAGGAGGCGTCCTGGAGGGGCTTCACGAAACGCACGGGCTCTGGGGGGGGGGGGGGGGGAGGAGCGAGGGAGGGGAGGAGCGAGGGAGGAGAGGAGGAGGAGCGAGGGAGAGGAGGAGAGGAGGAGTGAGGGAGGAGAGGAGGAGTGAGGGAGGAGGAGGAGGAGAGGAGGAGGAGCGAGGGAGAGGAGGAGGAGCGAGGGAGAGGAGGAGGGAGGGAGGGAGGAGAGGAGGAGTGAGGGAGGAGAGGAGGAGGAGCGAGGGAGAGGAGGAGGAGGAGCGAGGGAGAGGAGGAGGAGGGAGGGAGAGGAGGAGGAGGAGCGAGGAGGAGAGGAGGAGGAGCGAGGGAGGAGAGGAGGAGCGAGGAGGGGGAGGAGGGAGGGAGGAGGAGTGAGGGAGGGGAGGAGGGAGGGGAGGAGGGAGGGAGGGAGGAGAGGAGGAGTGAGGGAGGAGAGGAGGAGGAGTTCCCGGGCGAGGGAGGAGGTACAAAGCAGAAGTTTGCGTTAGAGCGAAGCAGCAGCAAAAAACTGTTGTGTATCTGACCCACAGGGGGCAGTGTGTTTACAGACGGAGTCTGTTGTTGTGTGTTGTTGTAAAAGTGTGTTCTTGGTGAGGATGTGTGTGTGTGGACGTGTTATAAGCGTGTTGTTGGCGTGTTACCAAGCGTGATGTTAGCGCTGCACTCGGCCTGGCTGCTGCTGTTGGAGATGTGGCAG